TGTCATCTCAAATTGAAAATTTCTCAAAATGTTTCTGTCTGGAATTGTGCCCGTGTTTAAATTTTTAATGGAATTCAACTTGTCTCAAAATGTGTGTGTCTTTAATGTTTCCTTCTCTAAATTTGTCCCTGTCTCACGTTGTTGGTCTCAAATTGTTTCCATCTCAAATGGCACCTGTGTCAAAATTGTCATCTTTTCAAACTACCCTAGATCCAATCTAAATATTGGTAGATGTTCGCCCTTTTTCATTATTTTTGAGTTGAATAAATTCACCAGAATGACTGCAGAGCAGAAGGCTCCCTCAGGAAGTTTCCTCCAAGCTTTGTGTGTGATGTAATGAAGATCAAATCTTTCACCTTTTTTTTGGAGTGACGAAACGAATGACGGGAACCGCTTTTATTTAATTTACAGTTGTCTCATTATTTGGACATGGTCGAGATCAACATCGCTGCGCAAATTGCGCAGAATTCGGAGGCCTATTTCAAAACCATGTCCTGTCACGATGTTCTGATGGCGGACTTGAACACGACCACCTCGAAAGTCAGAGTGCTACGTGCGGAAATGAGCCGCCTTCGGAAGACTCTGGTTGAGGGGCCCATGCAGATCATTGCACTTTTCCAGCAACGATCCCGAGCGGCTGTTTTGCTTAAAACGGTTTGTGGAAGAACATTTTTATTTTTTTTAATTGAAGAGCCATTTTATTTTTCCGCATTCTCGTTTTTTGTTGTTGTTACGTAACCCCAAACATTTCAAGATGTTGAGGAATGAAAGACGCGTTTATCGTTTTTTTTTTTCAAAAATTAGTTGAGTACGAATTCCGCTTATTTTTCAATTATAGTTGGAACTTCTGAAAATTTTGGATTTTCTGAAAATTTAAAGCTGTTGTAGAACCTTGTTGCGTCCAGATGAAGATGTGCAAATTAATTTGGATTTCCATAGTGATTGAAAAGTGAAGAAGAACTTTGTGCAATGAACCAATGTCAGTTGTGTCATACTTTCTATTCAAGGCCGGAGTTTGGTATTGGAGGATTGTGCAGGAAATTTTAGGGAACAGAAAGTCAATGAGGAGGAATATGCACTCAAAATTGGGTTTCTTTTCACTCCCGATATTTTATTTCCGAGATGTCAGTAAAAAGGTGTCACCTTTATAACCGTTGATCTAGAAGACGTAAAATGAATTTCGGGCGACATCTACGTGAGGATTTTGTGATTCGTGGAGTCGGGGACACGAAGTCGTGAACCGAAAAAATCCGTGTTGGATCTTTTTTTTTTTTTCAAATAATCAATAGCTTTACGAATTCTGGAGATGGTTATTCCGAAATTGTCTGAAGAACTCCCCGTTTTTAATTTCTTCAGCGATCAAATTTGTTTATTATATTGTGTTTCTTAGCGGACAGTAATGTTGAATGAATTTTCAGTTACTCTCACTACCACGATTTTCTCCGTATAACGAATTTTCAATCTGGTCCCAGGGGGGCTCTCTACAACGAAATTTGTCTGGTCCCCTGGATTTTGTTTTGGATGGATTTCACCTGCATTTATTTTCTTACGTACCGTGTCAAACTAGAGCCAAACTTTTCAAGTTGAATAAATATTCCTGTAGGGTTTTTTTTTAAGCAATCAAAAAGCGTGTCTGAGTAATTTTTTTTTGCTTTTCTCTCAGTTGAAGGTGATGAGAACCGTGCACCAAACCCAAGGAACTGTGCAGCTTCTTTTGGCTACTTCTGATTTTGTCGGAGCCTTGGATCTTATTGCCACTACTCATGATGTGCTTGAAGAAAACTTGAAAAATTTGCGATGTTTTAGGTATGCGTTGATCTGCTTCTTCTCACTCCAATACTCTCTCTGTCTGCTATTTGGGACAGATTTCTCCTGAACCTCAACCTTCACTAATATAACGAACACGAACCGAGTGAATTTCATCTAGACTTTTATTACGAAGACGGGCGTAACCAAATGAGAGCGACATCTATGTATCTGGAAAAGAATCGGGGGTTGAATGCTTCGAACGTCAGTGACAGGACGTTTTAAAATTGTAGTACTGTACAGAGCTGTACAAGTTATGGAGTGGTAAAATTAATAGATTGAGTTGGGGTTGCACAGCTTCTGAATTCTCCTTCAGGTCTTGTCCAATAATTTTTATTATTTTGCATATTACATAGAGAAAAAAACCAAATCCTTCCCAACGAGTAGTTCGACGTTTTTTTTGACAGCTCCTTCTTTCGGATGGTTAGGAAAATCAATTCGCCCTTGTCAAAAGCAACTTTTATTTCTGTGGAAAAATGTTTCATCTTTGGAGGAAAATGTTATGAGAGACCATAATTTCCTTGGGACTTCAATGTTAGAAGCTAATATTGATTAAACGCTGTAGTTGTTAGGAATGTTTTAAGAATAAATACAAAGGTTTGATTAAATGAAACTAAGAAATTTGGTTGGGCTGCGACCAGGGGGAAACTTCACCCTAGTACAAAGTTGTTGTAATTAGAGATTCAAAAGTACAAGTAAAAACTCGCAAATTTGCTCAAGTGTCGCGTATGAGAGCTTGGAATGGAATGATAAAAAAAGGAAAACTATCCTTCAGGGATAAATAACAGTTTCGAGAAATAGGCATTCAAACCGGAGTTTTTCCCGGTTCTCACAAATATTTATGAGGACAAGTTTTCCAAGAATTTGAATTCTTGAGTTTGTTAATTTAGCATAAAAAATTATACCTTATCATTTATTTTCGCAACGGTGGTGACAAATTATTTTTACCTGTATTGAAAGGAAAAAATTACGGCGGCTCTTTGAAACTGCGATTCGTTGTTCAATAGATTTTTCATGTGAAAGTTAAAATTTGATATTGTAGTTATATTTTGCCCAGAGACTGGTTTTTCATAAATAATTCAATTCTTAGGAGTGTGAGGCACAACTGAAAGAAGGAAATTAAAGTAGTCTATTGCCTAATATCTGAAAAAATCGTGCGGTTTGATTTTATCTTTTTTTTTCGTCAGGCATTTGGGGACCCAGTTGAGAGAGCTGGAGAAAATCATTGGCCGGGTTCTGGTCACCGACTTCTACCGCTGGGTAACGGGCTTCCTCAACCGCCCCGAGCTCCCAGAAACCCGAAGCAGCGGCGAAGAAGAAGACGGCCGAGACCGACTCTCGGCCATCGTCTTTGGCCTCGTTAAACTCGGCGAGACGAAAGTGATGCTGGACACGTTGCGGGAAGAAAGCGGCGCCGCTCTCAAAGCCCTCGTCAAGCAAGTGTTGGCGGAAACGTTGACGCGGAGCGACGTTGTTTCGGCGGCGGTTGAAGACAAGGAGGATGACGGAGCAAGTGGCGGCGTGGAGGATGGAGGCGGCAAGAGAGGGGTTGCTGCTGACATCTCTGGGCTGGATATGCAAGCGTGGTTTGCGTTTTTCAAGGACTTGTGCGCCAACGTGGTGGCGTTGTTGAAGCGCATCAAGAGCCTCAATGGGTTGATTGGGGACATGGTGTCCACTGCTGCGGAAGCAAATGAAGCCAAGTATGCTTTACTTGAGCCTCTTGTTATATTTTTTGCCTTCAATATTGAGATTCATGTGCAGTATATCCTTTGTGGAAGTGATGAATGAGGAAATGATGGGAAAGTTTTATCTACTTTAGCCAAAAATAGTTTTCATGTACAACAGTACAAAACCACAAGACATGGACTCAGAGACAAGCAACAGTGCACAGATTTCCTACACAAGAGTCACACTGGGAAATAACTGCACAAATCCCTGCTGGGTTAGGATCTTGCTGGGTTTTACATGTCAAGAAGAATTTATCAACAAATAAAGGTTTACAAGATTATGAGTTTGAATAGGTTGAAATTTTAAGAAATGAAACGCAAGACTTTGGTTGGACTGAAACCGGGGTGAGAAATCACCCCATTTTAAGTTTGGTATACTTTTGTAAAGTAAAATAGTTTGAAAGCAGGGAATTTTTGTGCAGATTTGCCAAGTAACAACACTTACAAATGTTCAAGTCAGAATGAATCAAGTTGTTGCCAATTTGAAAACAGGAAAACTATCCTTCAAGGACAGAAAAACAGCAACAGGATTTCAGCAATAAAGTACAGCCTTGAGGGCTCAGAAAGAAATGTGAGAACCAAGGTCTTCTGAGATTCTCACAAAGATGAAATGAAAGAAGATTCTACTGAGAAGATTCTACTGGTTCTCTAATTTTGTGTGAAGAATTCAATGATGCTATTTTATTTTTGCAACATTACCTACAATACTTCAAGATGCATACGAGTATATGGGATGTGAAGATTACCTGCTGTCCTTCATGGTTGCGCAACTTCTACATAGAAGTTGCACAATATCTCCTATATTCTATGTAGGAAAATGTCACAATCACTGTCAATATATTCAATATACCTTATTGGAAGGTCACTAATGTCTGTGTCTGTTCAGGTGAATGGTGGAATGTCCATCTGGTAGTAAAGATATCTGGAGTAATTACTTTGTCTTCCTTTTCCTTTGAAATCATGGAAGGATATTATATTTGATATTCATATAATATCCATTGTATTTTGCAATAGTTATGAATCTTGAGGAGTTGGCTAGATTCTTAATTCGTTTGAGTACCGTATTCCTTTCCCTTGCTTGCTTCTATTCCCTCTTCTTCATGTCTTCTCCCTTCAACAGATCCTGCGAAGGTTTGGGATGAAGTACAGAATGGTTCAGACAAAGTTCTGTATGCATAATTTCTGATGATAACACTCTTCATATTGAATTCTGAGGGACTTGCCAAAAAAAATTCTACTCTGAGAGGTTTTGATATGTGGAAGCCACCATTTATTCTTTCAATAAAAAAAAAGAATTAAAGAAAGCTAAAATTAGTGATCTTGCTTTTTGCCCAAAAACTGCTTTGTAGAGGAGTTGTTTGCTGAAAAAAAGAGAACTATAAGGAATTTTAATTCTGCATTGTTGCTTTTTATTGAATTTTTCTTCCATGTGTGAATAAAATAGTAGCCAAATGACCACCAGAAAATTCGAGTTATGCAGATTTTTAATCCACTGTTTCTAAGGGAATTCAGGCAGAAGCTTGAAAGAAATTGACAACTGCGAGAGGTTTGGGTCCAACTGTAGACGAAGGAAGGAAAACTAAATTTTCAGGGGTCATCTGATTTTTGATCTCAACATGTATATTTTCGAAAGCAGATCGAAGACAATTTTGAGACTGAAGCGTTTTGAAACATAGCGATGATGCATTTTTTGATATTATTTTTCAGAGACGATGCCGCAAAGAGTGCACGAGTGGAGGAGCTGATGACGGGCCTGAATGCAGCAGTCGTGTGGGCCTGCAATATGGCTCACGAACGGATTGCGAGAGTTATTTTGGCGTCTGGGAAATGTTTGGACAAGTGTTCCGCTTCGGATTACCGTGCTTTAAATACTTGCATTAAAGAATTCTCGCTGGCTACTGAACACATCAGCGGGAAGAAAATGTCTCACGTTTGGTCAGCGCTTCATGGTCAGGTCAGTTGCGTGCCGTTTAAAGAAATTGAAATTTTCGCGATTGCCATAAATTATTTATCCGTATAACGATTAACCGTTATTATTGTACTTTATCACTTTCGAGAAAAAAAATCTCCAATGATGAAAATTGCTTCTTTTGACTCGATAGAATTTCTCGTCATGTTTGAATTGATCCTTTTTTTTAATAGAAAGAAAAAAATCAATGGAAAATGGGCTGGGTTTTAAAATTTGCGTGCTTTCTTTTTCTCAGACGCAGAAATTCATAGCTCGGTTCCACGACAGTCACAAAGCAAAGTTGGGGATGCTTTTGGACAACGAACGGTGGCAGGCTGCAAAAGTGCCTCGAGAACTCCAACAGCTGGTTGACAACATTTTCACCTTGGGTTCGTAGTACTGTACAGTACTTTCTTGAAGGTTCTTTGATGAATCTAATAATAACGCTAACGGCCCTGTGCCTTTGCCAGAATATTTAAAAATCGCGGATCCTGGCGTACAGCAAATCCTCGCTACAACGAAGCTGTTGGCATCGGGACGAGAATACCTCGTTTTGTTTTATAGCGATTCGATTATATTTTTTGCCTGAAAAATTATTTCCTCGTAACCAACGATTCGTCATCATGAGATTATTCTGTATTTACAAATTTCAACAGTAACGAAGCCGTTTCTTCTCAATGATTCTCAGTGTAATCACAGTTGATTGAAATCTGGATGATCGGAATTCGTAGATATTTATTGTGATGTTTGCTGGGGTTTATTTCATTCTTGAAAACGTGAAAATGATGATTTCAGGAAAGTTCACTGCTTCGCCGAAGCAGCTTCCGGAACAGGACGCCGGAAATCCGTTTGCAGAATTGGCGGTTGCTACGTCGCATCTCGCAGTCGAGGGTCAGCAGTTTATCGTTGTCGGGTGAGTCAATTATTTGATCGACTGTCTGAAGTCATTTGATGCATTTTTTCAAGTCTAGAATTCAGAGGAAAAAAGTTTATAAGTTTCCTTTGTGCTTGAGAAGATTATCGGTCATCGTATCGAATTTATCCAATTTAATTTATTATTATCTATCGTCGTGTCTAAATTACTCGGCGTCATTTGTCAAATTTGATTTGAGGAAATTGAACCACAGTATTATATTTTCTTGTGACAGTCATTCAAGTGACTAAATAATTGACCAGTGTGACTTTTTTTTTTGAATGCGTGTTGCAGAAATAGATTCATTCATGTACATTCAGAAATAAGGCTTTTAAAGTCACTGTTTGCACCAACAAATTTTGCATCAGTGAGATAAGATTTTGGCATGAAGGTTTTCCAGATTCTTATCACCAAAGAAAAGTTGAGTAATGTGAGAATATCTCAAGATCTGTTAATCATGTCAATTTTTATATGATGAAAGAAAAGCTGGAGAATATTGTTAGCTTCAATTCAAGATGCTGCAGAATTTTGTAAGTTAAAATTTTGCTGAGTTATTTGCTTTAGAAGTTGGCGCATCAGGAATTGTACCATAGGCAAAGCATGTTTTCTTTGCTTATTTTATTTATTTTTGAAAGCAAGTTTTTACTGCACAATGAAAGATTGTATTTGCTGATTGTGTGTGTGATTTTTGTCTTCATGAAACATGTGATCAGAGACAATAATGTAGTCCTTTTTTTTAACATCCAAGGAGTGAGGATGCTCCAGCTTCCCTTATTTCTGCAGTCATAATGTAGTTTTTCACTTCTAAAGTTAAATTACCTTGGAGGCTGGGTAACTGCCTCAGCACTTGGATGTCTCTTGCATCTGGAATGTTTTTAATGCAGCTTAAAATCTGTTATAAATGCAGGTTTCAGTAAGTTTTACCTTGTGTTTGTTTGCTTGAATTTCATTTTTTCCCTGATGTTCTTTGCTGTTAGATGATTCTTGTCATAATTTTACTTCTAAACCAATATTGGAGGCTTTTGTCAAACTTCACCTGGTGTAGATAGCTAAGATATGTTTGCATCAGATCTTGTCACTGAATTGTGTGCTATTTCAAATTTTAACTTTAGTGAAATCTTGTTTATACGAAGTAATGCTTGCAATGAATATCATTTGTTTGGTCCCAGTGCAATAGCCACAACGTTATTTTAATTTTGCTTTACAAAGTTTTTGTTTATAACATAGTTTTTTCTGGATCACAAATGTTTTTTGTGATGAGATTTTACTATTATTGAGAATTGAACCTTAAAAAGTGACCTGAAGTTGTTCGGATGAATGCTGAAATTATACTTGACAAAAATCAAAGAAGAAGTGGATTAGTTCATCGATAATTGATTCAAAACATGGCTCACAGTTGATCTTTTGAATTACGTACAACCAAGAATAGTGTCTGGAGAATGCTGGAGTATTCTTCACCTATTTTATGAGGCATTTTTTATTCCTTGATACATTTTTCGTGGAATTCTAGACTTATGGAGATTTCATTATTTTATTGCTTGTAAAGATGGAAGAGCAATGAAAATTAAGATTACTGCAGGAATTATAGTTCAAATGAATTCAATTGTTTCTCTCTGATGTAATAAATATAATTATTCCTCATTGTATATTTGTTTCAAAATTTTATTAAATATTATTCTGATTAAAATATATGAAATAAACACTGTAATAATTTTAATATTTTAAATTTATTTTGATCATTATTATGTAAATAATCTCAAGTATTTTCTTATCCAAACAATAGCATCTGTTTTATTTATTGCTTCAGGTAGAAATCAGGATCAATTAATCAGGTTATTTTCAGTAATCTTAGTGATTGAATAACAACTTCACTTGTTATTCTAAAAGCTTGTTCTGGAATGATGAGACATTTGAAATTTGTAAAAAACAATAGCAGTACTGTACATTCGTTTTTTTTAGCGGTGTAGGCAAACAATTGAAAGATGAAAAATTCCGATTTTTCAGGGTTGTGCTAATGTTGGTGAGGGACGTTGGGGAATATTGCGACTTGGCGAGAGAGAATATTTCATTGGCGTCGGACTTGTTGACGAGGTTATCAGACCTCCTGGGGTTTTACAACTCTCGGATGAGCCAACTTCTACTCGGTGAGAAAAATATTATTATTTTTTCCATGAGTGATGGCTTTTTAGGAATTTAAACTCGTTGAGGCAGGTTCCGCAAAATTTTTTTTCTGGATTCGAGTCCATTTTGATGGGATTAGTCTTGATTTTCTTCATGAATGGAACCTTTGAAGTTGAGGAACGGAAATCATAATTTTCGCGAGTAGAGATGGGGGATATTTATTCAATTGTTTTTTTTAATATTTTTAGCTTTAAATTTCTGTTACCGAGGGAAACTCCCACTAATTGAATTGATTTTACTCCGTTTTTCAAATTGTGGGTTGCACTTTTAAATGTTGAATCAAGTGAAGTTCAAGGGAAGAATCTTGGCATGTCATGAGTGGAATGTAGATTGTTGTTTTGTTTTTGTGACAGAATAATTTGGTACCTTAATATACTATTGTACCCGCGCACTGGCTGCTGTTAGATGGCAGCTATATTAATTGAATACTAGAGATTTTAATCTGTACCCTTTACGGGTTTTAACAAATTAGGTGTGCAGAAGAACAGACTAAACAATAAGATGCCTGTTGCTTTTTTGTGTGTGTAATTGTGAACGTTATCCTTTTTTAACCATTTGTGATTTATATATGAAAAAGTCTGTTTTTGTGTTTTGGGGTTAATTTTTGAAATACAGTTTTATCTTTTTCGTTGGGATCATATAGAGAGTTCCCCAGCTGAACCCCACTGCTGATTTTGTGTTTTATTTTTGAATTCCGCCTCCTTTTGTGAAACTTGTCACAGTTTTGTTGAGATTATGTTGCGTTGTTTGTGATCAAAGTCAATTGCAGATATAATTTCTGTTTTGTGTTGTTTTGTGTCGTATTCAATTTTGATCTTCATCTCTTGTGAAGGTGCCGGTGCTTTGAGTTCTGCCGGACTGAGAACCATCAGCGCAAAAAACCTGGCCTTGGGATGGAGAAGCTTGCAGCTGGTTCAGGCAATGTTGCCGCGAATCAAAGCGTTCTTTGAAGAAATCCTTTTAACGCGAGCTTCTGGGATTCGGCAGCTCGATCAGGTATTTTGTGACCTGATCTGTGGTTGAACATGCAGTTATGAAATTCATGTCGAAGGAAGGAGGGGACCCCGTTGTGTCTTTATTCAATTTGTTTCATCAGTGTTCGGGTCCTTTCTTATTTTACCCCTAGGTTACTCGAGACGTGGAAGCACACGGGATGGGCCTTTGCTCGAAATTATCGCAAATCGTGGACACCGGCATGGAAATGCAGTTGGCGAGATGGGAGTTGAAGCCGCCGGTTCCGTCCCTGGCTTTCAAGTCGATTTGTAAGCTGTATTATATTTTCTTGTGACAGTCATTCAAGTGACTAAATAATTGACCAGTGTGACTTTTTTTTTTGAATGCGTGTTGCAGAAATAGATTCATTCATGTACATTCAGAAATAAGGCTTTTAAAGTCAATGTTTGCACCAAAAAATTGTGCATCAGTGAGATAAGAATTTGGCATGATGGTTTTCCAGATTCTTATCACCAAAGAAAAGTTAAGTTTAGAAGAGTGAGAATATCTCCAGATCTGTTAATCAGGTCAATTTTTATATGATAAAAGAAAAGTTGGAGAATATTGTTAGCTTCAATTCAAGATGCTGCAGAATTTTGTAAGTTACAAATTTGCTGAGTTATTTGCTTTAGAAGTTGGCGCATCCGGAATTGTACCATAGGCAAAGCATGTTTTCTTTGCTTATTTTATTTATTTTTGAAAGCAAGTTTTTACTGCACAATGAAAGATTGTATTTGCTGATTGTGTGTGTGATTTTTGTCTTTATGAAACATGTGATCAGAGACAATAATGTAGTCCTTTTTTTTAACATCCAAGGAGTGAGGATGCTCCAGCTTCCCTTATTTCTGCAGTCATAATGTAGTTTTTCACTTCTAAAATTAAATTACCTTGAAGGCTGGGTAACTGCCTCAGCACTTGGATGTCTCTTGAATCTGGAATGTTTTTAATGCAGCTTAAAATTGGTTATAAGTGAAGGTTTCAGTAAGTTTTACCTTGTCTTTGTTTGGTTGAATTTCATTTTATTTTCCCTTTCACAAAAAAGTCATTTTATCCCTAATGTTCTTTTGTCATTAGATGATTCTTGTCATGAATTTTGCTTCTAAACCATTATTGGAGGCCTTTGTCAAACTTCACCTGGTGCAGATAGCTAAGATATGTTTGCATCAGATCTTGTCACTGAATTGTGTGCTATTTCAAATTTTAACTGTAGTGAAATCTTGTTTATACAAAGTAATGCTTGCAACAAATATCATTGGTTTGGTCCCAATCCAATAGCCACAACATTATTTTAATTTTGTTTTTGTTTATAACGTAGTTTTTTTCTGGATCACAAATGTTTTTTGTGATGAGATTCTATTATTATTGAGAATTGAACCTTAAAAAGTGACCTGAAGTTGTTTGGATGAATGCTGAAATTATACTTGACAAAAATCAGAGAAGAAGTGGATTAGTTCATCAATAATTGATTCAAAACATGGCTCACAGTTGATCTTTTGAATTACGTACAACCAAGAATAGTGTCTGGAGAATGCTGGAGTATTCTTCACCTATTTTATGAGGCATTTTTTATTCCTTGATATATTTCTCGTGGAATTCTAGACTTGGGGAGATTTCATTATTTTATCCAGGTTTAATCAGGTTATTTTCAGTAATCTTAGTGATTGAAACGACATCTACTTGTTGTTTTGGAAAGCTTGTTTTGGATTGATGAAACATTTCAAATTTGAAGAAACAATCATATTACTTTACTGTACATTCGTTTATTTTTTAGCGGTGTAAGCAAACAATTGAAAGATGAAAAATTCTGATTTTTCAGGGTTGTGCTAATGTTGGTGAGGGACGTTGGGGAATATTGCGACTTGGCGAGAGAGAATATTTCATTGGCGTCGGACTTGTTGACGAGGTTATCAGACCTCCTGGGGTTTTACAACTCTCGGATGAGCCAACTTCTACTCGGTGAGAAAATTTATTTTTTTCATTAGTGATGGCTTTTTATGAATTTGAACTCGTTGAGGCAGGTTGCGCAATATGTATTTTTTTAGATTCGAGTCCGTTTTGATGGGATTAGTCCCGATTTTCTTCATGGATGGAAACTTTGAAGTTGAGGAACGGAAATCATCATTTCGCGAGTAGAGATGGGGAATATTTATTCAATTGTGTGCTTTTTTTTAAATATTTGTAGCCTTGAATTTCTGTTTCTAAGGGAAACTCCCACTGATTGAATTGATTTTACTCCGTTTTTCAAAGTGTGGGTTGCAATTTTAAATGTTGAAACGAGTGAAGTTCAAGGGAAGAATCTCGGAATGTCGCGAGTGGAATGTAGATATTTTGTTTTGTATTGTTGAGATTATTTTTGTTCTGTGTCGTATTTAATTTTGATTTTCATCTCTGTGAAGGTGCCGGTGCTTTGAGTTCTGCCGGACTGAGAACCATCAGCGCAAAAAACCTGGCCTTGGGATGGAGAAGCTTGCAGCTGGTTCAGGCGATGTTGCCGCGGATCAAAGCGTTCTTTGAAGAAATCCTTTTAACGCGAGCTTCTGGGATCCGGCAGCTCGACCAGGTATTTTTGTGAACTGATCTGTGGTTGAACATGCAGTTATGAAATTCATGTCGAAGGAACAAGGGAAAAATTCTGGAAAATCCTGGCATTTTTTGCATGTTGTTGTCTTAACTGATTTAAACTAATCAAATTTTTAGAATTGTTGATCAGACAATTCTATTGTTAAATCTGAGTTTTCCTAGTTGTGACTTTTGAGTTGAAGATTTGAGTTGTTTTCTGTGTAGTTTTGAAGATACAAAGAATACTTGAATAGATTTTGAAAAGTGTATTTATTCTGTATTCACATAGCATAGAATAGTTTGGAGCAAAGCAACAACAAGGTTCTTGTAGCAGCATTTGGTCAGTAAACTTAACGTGGTATTTGAGACACTCAAATATATATATATATATATATATATATATATACTGTATATATATATATATATACTGTATATATATATATACTGTATATATATATATATATATACAGTATATATATATATAGACAATCCTGGTTTTTGAGGTCAGCGCTGAGCATAGCAACCAATTTCGATTGGTGTTGACATACTTGGTTGCGCGTCAACCAAGGTGAAAGACAAACAGCATAGGAAGACTTTTAAATGAAAGAAGAAAAAAGGTGCAGTTGTGCAGCAATCTCAACAATGTGGAACAGAATGTGAAGCAGATGAGGGATTGTTCAAAAATTCAGTATACTGTAGTCATTGTATTCATTGGACTACAGTGTGTTTGGCACATAGGAGAATTAAATTGGGAAATGCTTGGGTCTAAAGCAGAATAGGTCTGAATTTCTTGATTGCTGAAGGTCATGCTTATTATTGTAATTTTTTGTTATTCTTTGCTAGATGCAAGGTTTGTTTCAATTCTGATTGAAAATCAATATATATTTTTTAAATTCTAATGTGTGACTTTCCTGGTATGGCCTGAGTTCTCCACTTGTTTTTTGGGGGTGCCAAAAATTTGTTGAGACAAGAGAGATTAAAAAAAATCACTTTTATTGTTTGGAATATCATCTCATTTAAATTTAAGAATAATTTCTTTCTTACATCTTGGAGTATCGTCTTGCATAGGAGAAAATCATCTTTCTGGCATCAACATTTCTCAACATGAAGTGTCCTGAAAAATGTATTCAAAATCCGAAACTTTCGAAAGTCCAGAAGCATCATGAGGCAATTGTTGACATAAAAAAACAATTTTTAATGACGCTAAAATATGAGTACCCGCGCAGAATTGGGACAACCCTCGTAATTTTAGGCGGCCATTATGCGATATGAAATTTGTGCATTCGAAAATGCCTCAATCAAACATTATTTTCTTTTTTTGTTTATCACGAATTGAGTGCATTTCTCATGAATGTTGAATCCATGAATTCTGCGAACCAGATTTATTTTCAAGAATTTGAGCCATGCTCGTACTGTACAAGGGTTCTAACAAAAGTTCTTGCAGTAACAATGAAAATGGCATTCAATTGAACTGAAAAAAATTTATTCTTCAGGGAAAACATATTCTTTGGCACACAAAAAAAAATCAGCCCGGTTTCATAATTTAAAAAAAAATCTTTTGCAACATTCATCCTGACAGAGTTTTGCTCTCCACTCAAAAGGAGAGGCGCCCTTTTTTTATAGTAGCCCAGCTTTCCCCTCAGAATTTTCGAAATCAACGTGGCATTCATGCCAAGGGTTGCCTCCAGGTTATCCAAGATAATTCCGCCATTTTCATCGACAGCCGCCTTCACAGCCGCCACTTTGGCGGATTGAAATAATCCTGACTAGTTTGTGCTCGACTTTCTTTGTTTCGAAAATTTTGAGGACAAGATTATGCTACACTACGCGTTCGTTTCCTCGATTAAAACAAATCCCGAAGTTTAAGCCTGGAACTTGCTGAAATTTCAGTGATTTTCAGCCAAAAAAAAAATTTCTTTAGGTGAAATTTTCGTGTCATGTGCGAGTCACTTTATTCCGAATTGCGAAATTTCTTGATGCGGGGACCCCGCTGTGTTTTTATTCAATTTGTTTCACCGTTGTCGGGTCCTTTTGTTTTTCCCCTAGGTTACTCGAGACGTACTTCGTGTGCCCTACCCGGAAACGAGCTTTAATAGCGTTTAGCACCTGTGGCCGTACCTTTACGTCAACCGCTCTACCCTCAACTTCGGCGGCCAAGGCAGGGACCGAAAGTTCAGCTAAACATTCGAGCTGGTGAAGCTGAATGAAGCTGTGAGCGATGTTCTGCCGCATTCCCAATTGGACGCTATTTATAGCAAGGTCCACGCGTCGTTTCGCTCGAGAATCCATGCGAACATCATCAAGTCGGGGATCAAGAACGACGGAGGACCTGATCACGGGTTCGTGGTGTCTTACATCTTTTTGTTTCTGTTTTTTTTTTTCAACACTTTTTTTTTCTTTCACTGTTTGGGTGAGTGCTGCCTGACTCAAATGTGGTCAAGATATTTGAGAGACAATTTTATGCAGGCAATTTGAGGCAGGGTCAACTTGAGATGGGGCCAATTTGAGACAGCAATAATTTGATGCATGACCAAGTTGAGACAGGGTCAATTTGGGACAGGTTTAATTTGGGACAGGTTTAATTTGAGACGGGTTCAATTTTAGACAGGTTCAATTTTAGACAGGTTCAATTTGAGACAGGTTCAATTTGAGACAGGTTCAATTTGAGACAGGTCCAAATTTGAGACAGGTCCAAATTTGAGACGGGTTCAATTTGAGTTAGGTCCAAATTTGAGACAGGTTCAATTGGAGACAAGTCATTTAGAGACGGGGTCAACTTGAGATGGGGCCAATTTGAGACAAGACCAATTTGTGACAGGGTCAATTTACAGCAAGGTTCAATTTGAAACAGTTTCAATCTGAGAATGGGTCAATTTGAGACAAGACCAATTTGAGATAGGGCCAATTCAACACAGGTTCAATTTGTGACAGTGATAATTTGAGACAGGGTCAATTCAAGACAGTTTCAATTTGAGAATGGGTCTATTTGAGACAGGGTCAGTTTGAAACTGTTTCAATTTGAGGCAAAGTCATTTAGAGACAGGGAAAATTACTGGCAGCAAAGTAAGACCTAAGCTTCACACACATCTTCACCTCCATTTTCTTCTCAACTCAATGACTGACTCGCATTAGTGGAATAGTCCCTGTTTGGGGATGTTTTGAAATGTCTCAAATAATCCCTTTCTTAAATTGTCCTGTAACCAGCAAAGGGCCACATGGCACCTTTTTATTGGCCAATGGCCACATTGCAGAGGTGGAGAGTCTTGGCAGACCACAATTACCAATCACTTTTAATATACAGTATAATTTTACTGATTTTATGTAATAGGTGCTGCAATAAAGTTGAAATGCGAATAATCATGCTACTCAATGTGTTTTTATTATTAAGAAATTCATGGTAAGAGGATCTGGACAAATGAAGAGCGTGGCAATAAAAGCTTTTGAAAAATCTCATCTAAAACAGCAGAAACGTTGTTGCAACTTTGTTTTGTGAACCTATCCTTGAGTGTATGGGGTTTCTTTATCAATCAAATGAAGACTAAGTACAATCCTTATGTCATTTGCTCTTACTCTATGTATTATATCATTAGATGAGAACTCCAGGAATTTACTGTAATTTATGCAAAGGGTTTTGGGAAATTTCTCCATGGAAAATGTGATTCCATGAGTCCCCAAATTCCCCCCCCCCCTTTTTAAATGAAAATCTTCAAGTTTAGTTCAGATCTATGTGCATTGAATCACAAGCATAGCTGAACATAATTTTTGCATGGTGAAGCAGCCTTTTAAAATTTTAAAATTTATCTCTAAAAATATATTTTGAATAGTGGGTAGCTGCAACCTTGAAAAAATGTGGGTAAGGGACTGAAGGGCAGATATGTTAGGCAGCACTGTTTTAGGTATGTTGAGAAATAATTTTTCATCTTTGTCAGCACAGAAAAGGTGTATTAAATTCAGTTAACCATTCCTTACGAGTTTACAGTTCGAATAACGTTGTTTGATCGCTAAAGAAAAAAATATTGTGTTTTCCGATTTTCAGGTTGATTACGGCTGAGCTGACGTTTTACGTGGAGCAGCTGAAGAGTTTAAAGTGTTTTGTTGACCCTCGGAAATTGGAAAGCTTCCACGAGGAAGTGTGGAAGGAATCGTGAGCGGATGACGACTTTTTCATGTTGAACGCTGAAAGTTTTATCGATGGAAGAAGAAGAAACATTCTAGTCTGCGGTGATGTGATTTGTACGCCCGTGCACAGTGGTTTCCAAAACGAGGAAAGAGGTGTTTCAAAAATTTGGCTTGCTGTTGCTTGTTGATGCTTATTCGGGGAGGTTATACTCTTTGCGCACCCTGCAGGGTGAGGGGATCCAGTATGTCAAGTGTGGTGATGCATTCCGAGGAAAGGATTATTTTATTTTTTGTTGGCATGAGGAATTCGTGTATGATTTTTGATGGATTGTGATGAGGTATCACAAATGAAGTGAGACATCAACTGAAAACATGCGTATTTCATTCTAGTCTAATGTGACGTCTCTACAGTTTATTGAGGGAAACTGAAGAACGATTTTTTTCAAATAAAAAAACACTGCATTCCAAGAACATTGGAAGCGGTTGCATTGAGAAACTGACATACCCGGATGGGAGCAGTGCTGGTTGCCTTGCATGATTGACTCTTTGGGGAATTTACATTAATTATCATTAAGTTTCTGTCTGGATTTGAAAATGAATTGCGCAAAGTTATTTCCATCTGTTATAGTGAATTTGCTGTGCTTCAGAAAGTATTGTACTGTGATGTATAGTAACATATTGTTACCTGCACCACAGAAGCGTATAACAAATAATCAAGTACAACAAAATCATCTTTCAGGTCCCTGCCCAATATAGGCAGGATAATGCTGTTTCAGTATTTTTTAAATAACAATTAGCCTGTTTCGATGAAGCTAGCTATTTTGCAAGTCTCAATGCCATTGCTGTGACGATATCTTACTTTATACCATGGAGAAAGTTCACTGAAGAAACAGGATTTCTCTCATGAAGTTGAACTGCATTTCCGAGTGATTTGGATGTACGGTAATGTATCACAAAGTCAAGGTGATTTGCTGAACTGATAAGTTATTATATAGTATTATCACTAGAAAACGTTATTCTCTGTATTCGCAGCTGTAAAATGTTTCACTCCGGCCATTGTTGTGAGGCAGGAGCTTTTCAGAAAATAATTTACAGCCGTTTAGTACAAATGACATACACCCCTCCGGTACGTTAGTGCTCGGTAGAATTCACCTGTCGTAGGTGGGAAGTGCGACAAGTGTCAGCGAGGATCTGCGACATCCTGTGTTGAGCTGAAATATTCTTTGTTGACGCGTTTGTGGATTGAAATATTTGTGTTTGAAAATAACTGTGAACGCAGCACTGTGTGAAACAACATATATTTTCCATTGGATTTCCCTTTTGATTGATTGAGTCTCGTCTTTGCCTTGCATTTTTTGTGGACCTAGTTTTATTGTGCGAGTCTCACATTCCAAAAAACCGAATTCCGAATGGCGGACTTCAACGGGCTTAAAAGCAAGAAGGACCGTCAGGCATCGCGTAAGTTTTGTGAAGTACTGTAAATTTTTATGTTTTATGATGCGAATCCATGATCAATCGTATGTCCTTCAGCGATGCTGGTGTTCGGCGGTTGCCTGTCTTTCGTGGCTGGTCTGCTTCTTATAATGTCATTTGCGAGGTGAGTTGTTGCCGTAAAAGTTATGAGCAAGGAATTTTCGTCTTCATTCTCCGAATATTGCTCCGTAGTCCGTATTGGCTGCAGTCATGGTCCGACACCAACACATCATTCAAAAACATGGGTCTCTGGGAATTCTGTTTTGATGGCTTCCGTTATCCAAAGTTTCAATATGACGAGAAGTTCACCGGTTGCCATTACGTTTTCAGTGAGAAATATCGTATCATTCGTGAATGGTTACTTCCAGGTAAGCATTTATCTACTTTGTAATTCGAATTGTGGTGGATGGGAAGGTAGCCGAGATGTTCGAAGAATACGGGGTGTACCTTGTTGAATTTCATTGATTTAAGACCAAGTTCCGAGAATCTCGTGGTGAAATTATACATACACCGGTATGTTCCATTCGCGAAAATGAGGAACGTTTGGAAGCTGCAAGCACGAAACTTATCTATCGGCAAAATTTGTATGGAGTCGTTTTGAAGAATTAACGCAGGATAACATGATCTGAAACAATTGAGCTATGGATTTCTTTTGAAGAGCTGAAAGTGGTGGATATGAAAGATGACACGGTGTTCAGAGAAAATGTTGACTTCAGTGAAATCTTTGAAGATCGTTGCTCCGAATACTTTGGGCGTTTGAAGAAAAGCTTTACGAGAGATCCGCTCTAATTTTGCAAGAAAAGGGCGATTTTCACGGTGCTCTATCCTCTATCGGAGTCAACACGGTAATTTATCTTCCTTTTTTAATTTTATTTTTTTTACGCAGGATGGCTGATGGTTGTTCAAGCGTTCGTTTCGCTTGCTTTGATACCATCTTTCGGTGCTCAAATTCTTCTCAGCCTAGTTGTGACCCGATTTCCTTTATTCCTGATGCGTCAAGAATGGGCATTGATTGGTCTCGCTGCTGCCATGGAAGCTATTGTCGGTGAGCACCTTCGAACCTTCGTCCGTTAATCATTTTTGTGCTAATTTGTATGCATTTATATTCCCAGCCCCGTGTCTGTTCTTAGCCGTCTCAATTTTCGGTGGAATGTGCTACAACCGGTCCTGGCTTTTGTATCCGAATTTCAACTTTTTGTCATGGTCGTATGCGTTTTGCGTGTTCTCCATGGCTCTTCACGGCGTGTCTGCGTTGATCCTCTACGTCGTAAGTCGCTTTTTGCGGTGGATTTATTTAGTGCTTGAGTGATGCTGGAAAGTGACCTCCAACGGTGTGTAATGTGGCTTTTCGTCGGAAAATAATTTCGAATACGGACGAATAATCGATTTGGACGTGTGGGAAGTACCGTGAAAATCTTCAGTCTTCGTCTGACCTAATTATTTTTAACTTTTTCAATAAGTTAGTTTGGATTTTCTGAATGGATGCACATTTACGGAAATCGCGCGAACCATTATTTTCCATTGAGATCTAAAATTCTCCTGAAAATGTGTAAGTTGAATTCGGAGAGAACTCGATCTTCGATTTAGTGCCGTTATTTGTCCTGGCACCTGTTGTGGCACTCAATCGTAGGTATCGTATGAGAGCAAGGTTCACTTGAGGGTATGTATTTTATGCAAAATAAGTTGGTCACATAATTTTTCGGCCACTTAGGCTGCTTCAGAAGAGAGAAAGCTACGAGAAATAATTCGAAGCTCAGATGCACTGTATATTTTTGCTGTACTGTATTTAAATATGCTGTATTCAATTAGACAAAATATATTCGATTTTTACGCATATTGTGTCTAAAGTAAAAGAGCAGTGTTCTTTTTTTGGAATTTTGTTTGAGTTTTTAGTCTGTTTTCATGCAATAATCATCCATTGTTCAAGGAATGCTCTCATGTCATCTACACGATTTTCAATAATCATGCAAAAACAAAAATATTTTGTAAATTTAAAAATAGAATTCCAAGATTATCCTGAATTTGAGGATGGGCATGTGATTCTCAGTCTCTAGAAGAAAACCTCAGATTCTTATATTTTGGCCCATTTTTCCTTCAAAACACGGCATTTTTTGCACTCAAAAGTTGGCAATGAATCGGGATTGTAGCAAATTTGAAGCACTGTGCGAGGATGACGCTAAATCGAGGGCTGAGTTCGTATATTTTCGGAAAACTGGTTCGTAAACTCTTGAATAAGTTGAATCGTTTTTCTTCTCCTTTTTTTTCACAGGAAATGAAGCGATCGAAAGACCGTCACGATCGCAGCAAGAGTCTCACCGTCCAAATGCAACCTGGTCCTTCCGGTTCCAGTTACATCTAAACGCATAGGCCATTTGCCTGAATTTGTTATCCGAGGGGATTCCTTGATTCTAGCGATTTGTATATGGTATTTTATTATTGTCGGAGCAATCTCGGAGGAAAAGTTTTACTTATCAGCAGTTTTCAGCGAACAGCAAATTCAAAACAAAGGCATGTGATCTTGAAAGAATCCGTCCTGTATTGTTGATCATTAATTTTTTCGCTTGAACGGAGTGAGCGATTATGCTTTTTTGGTTATGTTATTTCCAAGGGTTGTACATTTTTTATGCGAAAATTAGACTTATGGATTTTGCGTGAGTGATTCACTGTTTGCGACTTCTGCGTGGTGTGCTTCTTCTTTTTTCGTTGTTGTTGCTGAGTGCAGTGGTTTTTGTTCCGTTTTCGTAGGTTTTGTGAATCGACGCCAGTAGCATTGGAATTCCCATTTATTTATTATCGTTTCACGATTGTTTGCGAGCCTCAGCACGAGTAAACTGCGTGGTATTTCTAGTTCAGTGGATCCCGTGTGTGTTTTCCGCTGCTTGCATCTCATTTTGCGGGTGAAGAAGAGCTGGATGTTGGTGAGTCTTGGACTTGGACCAGGTTCAATCGCTTGACTGGCTGATCCTGACCGAGGTTTCCTTTGTATTGTATTTGTCGCGATGAGCGCTTGAATGATGATTGCCACTGTTTCGCTTTGCGCAGCTTCATTTTAGTTTCGTCCGGCTTTAAAGGGTGCTGCGATGATCAAGAATATTACCGTATTTACTGTAGTACCACGCGATCTTGAGTGATGGGATTCCTAGTCCTATAATTCGGCTAAAGTTTCTTCCAACGCGCACTCAATGCTTAGTGACTAAAAAGCGGCGGAATCTTGAAAATATTATGTGTAAAAATCGAAATTTGACCTACCTTGAACCTAAATTAAATTACAGTTGTGAACCTCTCAAAGTCGAATTTCTAGGGACAAGGAAAAAAATTCAACTGAAGGAGGTTTTGATTTTTGGAGGTAGAAACAATCATTTTGCTGTGAAGATAAGTAAAAAAAATTTCAGGTAATTGTAAATGAGGATATTCTTGGCCTAAACTTGCTTCTTAATGAGTTTACAGCTTGCTGAACTTGGAGGCAGGAGTTCATTTCTTCAATTAGTCTTTCACTTCATTTCAAGATGCATGAAATCATCTGTTTCATTGATTTTCTCTTTGATATTTCAAGGAAATAATAGCCAAAAGGCCTCAGAAAATTTGACTCATAGAGGTTTGAGAGAAAAAGATTTATAGTTTGGGAGGTTTTCCATGCATTGTTTCTGAGGGGATCCAGGCAGGGAATTGTAAAAAAAATTGATTCAGGGAGGTTTGACTTATCAAGGTTCAACTGTAATTTTCCTCTGTTTTCATTAACAATTGTGAGCCCCTGCGCTTTAAAAAATTTAAATATTTTGTAACTGCTTTTGACATGCACCCTCTTTTTCCAACTTAATTTTGAAAAAAGGTGTGTGTGGTACTTCAGTAAATACAGTATTCGAGTAAATTGAGATTCGATTTTTAAAGCAGCATGCAAAGTACCATTTTACTCAAGTACCCAGTTGTACCACACACTTTAATTGAGGAGCAACAAATATGGTGCATGTTTTAGGTCGGTAACAAGTTTTCAAAAAATTTTAAGAAATCAAGGTGCACATGATATCATTAAAAGTACCGTTTAAACCTTGGGGAAATATGTATTAAAATTTCCCTTTTTCCTGTTAAATAACTTAAGTCCCCAACTAAGAACAGGTTTAACTTTAAGACCACACAGAATAAAAACTCTATGTCTAGTATTACAATTGCTAAAAATGGGGTGCGCATCTTCACTAGGTATTTTATTTCATCAAAATTGGAGGATGAAAAATTCAGCTTGTGTTTTACTTAGGGTGTGATGTGAAGTACTCAGAAAAATATAGTACATTTAAAACCTCTTGAAATCATATTTAAATTAAACGAAAATGTGAATTTTTTGGTGTTCTGAGATGAGGTTTACAAAATGGAATTCAAGAAAAGTGTGAAATCCTTCTCTAAGTTATGGAATACAATCTGAAAATTGTTTATCTCGATTTTGCGAGTCTCTGGGGGCGCGTGAAGATAAGTTAATTGAATAAAATGTTCAATACCCCGACTGTCATGAAGAAGAAGAAATTTCTATACTTACCCCACTCGATTGAGAAAGATTCTCAAGTATTTTCCAGTGTTGCCGCAAGCGTGTTTGAATCATTCTGACGGAATGGGTCAATCGAGAAACTGTCTGCGTTTAAAGCAAAAAAACAACATTTCTAGTTGAGCGAATTTAGTTTTCTCAAATTTAGATGAAGATTCCGTTACCTGCAAAAGGATCTTGAGAGTATTGGCATCTTGATTTTTGTTGTCCCGTGGCGAATTTTGAGCTGTTGTATTCGAGACTGTGGACTGGAGTATTCCCCGTGTTGGTAGGACTGTTGTTTCTGCTTTCACTTCCACCACAGTCAAATTCCTCAGTGGACTAGAGTAGGGAATTATAAACCCAAAGGTTGGAGAGAATCGAAATAATTTGCGAGGCGGGAAGATTTGGGTTCGTACCTGGTTTGAACATTTTCTGCTTTTATCGTCGTGAAAGAGGTCGTGTCCGAATTCTGCGAATCTCCGAAGACACTGATTTGAATCCAGATCAAACACCGTATGGTCGTCCACAACATCGCTGTAGACTTAAATGGAACCAAGTCTTCATGGTCCCTATAGACCGGTGCAAATTTATCTTGGTTCTCTGATGTGTTTGTCGAAGAAGTGTGATAACTTCGTGAGAAGGTTCCTTTTGTCGGTGTTTGCTTTGGTTGAATATTACGGATGTGGTTTGCTTCCTTTCTTTTCTTTTTTTTTTACATTTTCAGTGGACATGTGATTGAAACCATGATGGAGAAGAAGAAGAAGATTGGCCAACTGATGGAAATGGTGGTGTTGGTTCTCGTTCTGTTGACTTCCGTGCTGCACGGGGCAGTGACTGGTCATCAACCCGGGATTTACGTGGACAATGGATTCGATCAGACTGTTTTGGAGCCGTTTTTAAATCGCTACGAAAAGGAGGAAATGGAGGACGAAATGTTGACTTTGCTTGGTCAGTTTGCCCACCTTCGTTCGTTAATTTTTTTTAGAATTTCCCGTTACTTATATAATTGGTTTTTTCTTTGATTTTTAAAATCAAGGTCTCCATCATCGACCACACCCAAAGAAGAAGGTGTCTAGAAAGAAACTGAGATTCGGATTTGAGTCCTTGTTTCTAGATGCCGCCATGTCAGCCAAGCATGGAAAGTCAGAAATGAGCAGCGCTAGTCAGTAAGAAATGCCTTTTGTTTATTGAATATTTTATATCTTTGGATTCGCTTCTTCTGGGGGGCTCTGAAAATGTGGAGTGAAGTTGTCTGTGAACCTCTGCACCCTTGCATGAATGCGTCACCCTGGTAACTGGGTTCCATAACATGTGTACCCACCATTGGGCGGATCTAGGACAAATCAAGACTGACAATTTGAGATAGGGCCAATTTGAGACAAGGCTAATTTGAGACCTGGCGAATTTGAGACAAGGCTAATTTGAGACATGGCCAAATTGAAACAGATACTTTTTGGAGACAGGGACAATTTGTGACATAAACTTTTTGAGACATGGGCAAATTGAGGCAGATAAATTTTGAGACAAAATGACTCAACTGTGTTTCTCCCTATTTTCTTATGTTTGAGGTGTGAAAAAAAGTCCACCATCCCAGGTGTTTCTCCTTTTTTTCCATCATCAATGTCAAGCAAGTTTTCCTTATCAAGGAAAAACTGAAATCTTTGAATCAACCTAAGCAGATTCCTCTCCTCATTAAGATGGGTTTTGTCTCAATTTGTCCCTGACTCAAATTGTCCTGGTCTCAAATTTTCCCTGTCTCAAATTGTCACTGTCTCATATTTTCCCTGTCTCAAATTGTCCCTGTCTCTTATTGTCCCTGTCTCAAATTGTCCCCATCTCTATGTGGGCCCTCTCTCAATTTTCTGTCTCCATTTGTCCAGTCTCAAATTGTCTTTCACAATTTGTACATATCCACCATTTGGCCGTGAATGATGTGCTGCCCAAATATGTGGGAGTAATTGGTTCTGAATTCTTGTCCTTCTGCCAGAATGTTCACTTGTTTGCTTGTACTTTTTCCCATAAACATCATGAAGAGCATTTTGAATCACTTCTACTTCTTGGCAAACAATTGGAAAAAGTGATCAAAAAATGAAGTTTTTCTTTTGGGGTATGGTGCAGTCAATAACTATGTAATAGAAAAATACAAAGAATCTGCTCTTTTGGTATGAAAAGGAGTCCAAGCAGTAAAAAAAGGCGATCGCCTCTTGGCTACTCCGTAACGTATATAGTAGATGTGAAAAGCTGTTGAAAGAGTATATGAATGAGAGTAAATATTTATGTAAAATATAATTTGCATTTTTGTTTGTAGAAATTTTGGTAGGGGTGAAGAAAGAGGAAACCAGTTGAAACTGGTGGAATCACTCATTTTCATTCATTAAGCTTCAACTTTCACTGATCTTTATCATAATCTGAATTAATATACTGATTGTTATCAAGTCCCACTGCAGAGATTTGAGAAGTATTCAAGTTGGATTTTAGAGAATCTGCCTCGAAATGACATATTTTTTTCCATTCGAAATTATATAATTGAATTTGTAGTTTCTGTCACTCGAAATTACTTGAAAAATAAATCTGGTGGCATCAAAATACAACCCAAGAGTCAAACGCAAATACTGTGATACGTGTATGATATAAGTACCGCATATTCAGAAATTCGAAACAATATTGCGTATGCGAACGTTACACAGTAATAACAATTGAACTTAAAAATTTAATTGCTTCGTTTGGTAAACTGTGTTGCGGTAATTACGGGATACAATTTTTTTGTCAGTTTTGTTTTTGTTCTCTCGAAAAAAATTATTTGTTTATTTATTTTCATTTGTCAAGGTTTATGCTGGACGTGTACAACAGCATGGACTCCAACGAAGAAACGGGAAATTTGAGAATTCGCGCTAATCACCGATCATCGCGAGATTTGAAACACTTCGGAGTCACAGAAGGCGACGTGGTGTAATTTTCATGGCAAATTTGGAACCCCTTTATACATAATTTTAAAGGGAAAAAGGACAATTTATTGAATTCAGGGGTTGATTCTTGTCCAAATTGAAATTCTGGTGTGTCTTATTTTTGAGATACAGTAGTATTTCAGTTGCTAAAAATGAGGTGCGCATCTTCATTGGGTATTATATTTCATCAAAATTGGAGGATGAAAAATTCAGCTTGTTTTTTACTTATGGTGTGATGTACAGTACTCAGAAAAATATAGTACACTTGAACCTCTTGAAATCATATTTAAATTAAACGAAAATGTGAATTTTAGGTGTTTTGAGATGAGGTTAAAAAAATTGAATTCAAGAAAAGTGTGAAATCCTTCTCTAAATTCTTGAATACAATCTGATAAAATGTAATTGAATAAAATGTTCAATACCCCGACTGTCATGAAGAAGAGGAAGAAATTTATATACTTACCCCACTCGATTGAGAAAGATTCTCAAGTATTTTCCAGTGTTGCCGCAAGCGTGTTTGAATCATTCTGACGGAATGGGTCAATCGAGAAACTGTCTGCGTTTAAAGCAAAAAAAAACATTCTAGTTGAGCGAATTTAGTTTTCTCAAATTTAGATGAAGATTCCGTTACCTGCAAAAGGATCTTGAGAGTATTGGCATCTTGATTTTTGTTGTCCCGTGGCGAATTTTGAGCTGTTGTATTCGAGACTGTGGACTGGATTATTCCCCGTGTTGGTAGGACTGTTGTTCCTGCTTTCACTTCCACCACAGTCAAATTCCTAAGTGGACTAGAGTAGGAATTATAAACCAAAAGGTTGGAGAGAATCGAAATAATTTGCGAGGCGGGAAGATTTGGGTTCGTACCTGGTTTGAACATTTTCTGCTTTTATCGTCGTGAAAGAGGTCGTGTCCGAATTCTGCGAATTTCCGAAGACACTGATTTGAATCCAGATCAAACACCGTATGGTCGTCCACAACATCGCTGTAGACTTAAATGGAACCAAGTCTTCATGGTCCCTATAGACCGGTGCAAATTTATCTTGGTTCTCTGATGTGTTTGTCGAAGAAGTGTGATAACTTCGTGAGAAGGTTCCTTTTGTCGGTGTTTGCTTTGGTTGAATATTACGGATGTGGTTTGCTTCCTTTCTTTTCTTTTTTTTTTACATTTTCAGTGGACATGTGATTGAAACCATGATGGAGAAGAAGAAGAAGATTGGCCAACTGATGGAAATGGTGGTGTTGGTTCTCGTTCTGTTGACTTCCGTGCTGCACGGGGCAGTGACTGGTCATCAACCCGGGATTTACGTGGACAATGGATTCGATCAGACTGTTTTGGAGCCGTTTTTAAATCGCTACGAAAAGGAGGAAATGGAGGACGAAATGTTGACTTTGCTTGGTCAGTTTGCCCACCTTCGTTCGTTAATTTTTTTTAGAATTTCCCGTTACTTATATAATTGGTTTTTTCTTTGATTTTTAAAATCAAGGTCTCCATCATCGACCACACCCAAAGAAGAAGGTGTCTAGAAAGAAACTGAGATTCGGATTTGAGTCCTTGTTTCTAGATGCCGCCATGTCAGCCAAGCATGGAAAGTCAGAAATGAGCAGCGCTAGTCAGTAAGAAATGCCTTTTGTTTATTGAAAATTTATAACTTCGAATTTGTTTCTTCTGGGGGGCTCTGAAAATGTGGCGTGAAGTTGTCTGTGAACCTCTGCACCCTTGCATGAATGCGTCACCCTGGTAACTGGCTTCAAACTGGGCGGATCTAGGACAAATCAAGGCAGACAATTTGAGACAGTGCCAATTTGAGACCAGGCTAATTTGAGACAGGGCCAATTTGAGACCAGGCTAATTTGAGACAGGGTCAAATTGAGACGGATACTTTTGGAAAGAGGGAGCAATTTGTGACAGAAACTTTTTGAGACATGGACAAATTGAAACAGATACATGTTGAGACAAAATGACTCAAATGTGTTTCTCTCTATTATTTTATCATTTATGTTGAAGGTGTGAAAAAAAATTGCACTGTTCTGAAGAAAAGTCCGTAATCCCAGTGTGTTTCTCCTTTTTGTCCATCATCAATGTCAAGCAAGTTTTCCTCATCAAGGAAAAACTGAAATCTTTGAACCAACCTAAGCAGATTCCTCTCCTCATTAAGATGGTTTTTGTCTCTGTTTTTCCCTGCCTCAAATTGTCCCTGTCTCAAATTGTCCCTGTCTCACATTGTCCCTGTCTCAAATTGTCCCTGTCTCAAATTTTCCTTGTCTCAAATTGTCCCTGTCTCAAATTTTCCCTGTCTCAAATTTTCCCTTTCTCAAATTGTCCTTGTCTCAAATTGGCCCTGTCTCAATTTTCTGGCCCCAATTTTCCAGTCTCAAAATGACTGTTTCAATATGTATGTATCCACCATTTGGCCATGAATGATGTGCTGCCCAAAGATGTGGGCGTAATTTGTTCTAAATTCTTATCCTTACGCCAGAATGTTCACTTGTCGAATTACTTTTTCCCATAAACTTCACAAAGCGCATTTTCAATCACTTCTACTTCTTGGCAAAGAATTGGAAAAAGTTATCGAAAAACTGAAGTTTTTCTTTTGGGGTAAGGTGCAGTCAATAACTAAGCAGTAGAAAAATAGAAAGAATCTGCTCTTCTGGCATGAAAAGGAGTCCAAGCAGTAAAAAAAGGAGATCACCTCTTGGCTACTCTGTAATGTATATACTGTAGTAGATGTGAAAAGCTGTTGAAAGAGCATATGAATGAGAGTAAATATTTATGTAAAATATATTTTGCATTTTTGTTCGTAGAAATTTTGGTAGGGGTGAAGAAAGAGGAAACCAGTTGAAACTGGTGGAATCACTCATTTTCATTCATTAAGCTTCAACTTTCACTGATCTTTTTTAGAATCTGAATTAATACTTATTGTTATCAAATTCACTGCACAGATGAGAAGAATTCAAGTTAGATTTTGGAGAATCTGCCGCGAAATTAAATTTTTCTTTTCCATTCGAAATTATTCATTTTAATTTGTAGTGTCTGTTACTTGATTATATAGATCGCTTCAGTTTAGCGAAAATTACTTGAAAAATAAATGTGATGGCATCAAAATACAACCCAAGAGTCAAACGCAAATACGTGTATTATACAAGTACCGCATATTCAAAAATTCGAAACAATTTTTCGTATGGGAGCGTTACACAGTAATAACAATTGAACTTGAAAATTCAATTGCTTCGTTTGGTGAACTGTGTTGCGGTAATTACGGGATACAATTTTTGTGTCAGTTTCGTTTTTGTTCTTTCGAAAAAAATTATTATTTTTATTTCTTTTCATTTTTTCAAGGTTTATGCTGGACGTGTACAACAGCATGGACTCCAACGAAGAAACGGGAAATTTGAGAATTCGCGCTAATCACCGATCATCGCGAGATTTGAAACACTTCGGAGTCACAGAAGGCGACGTGGTTCAAGGTTTATGCTGGACGTGTACAACAGCATGGACTCCAACGAAGAAACGGGAAATTTGAGAATTCGCGCTAATCACCGATCATCGCGAGATTTGAAACACTTCGGAGTCACAGAAGGCGATGTGGCTACTCTCGATTCCAGCGATGTCATCATGACTTTTCTCAATCAAGGTTTGCAAACCTGCCTTCAGGAATTCACCTCATTTTCTGCGTTTTATACCTTCTGGATTTTGAAAGTTTCAGGTGTTGATACTGACATTTTAAAAGCAAAACTCGCAAAACTTTTGAAAGCAACATTTTTGGCGAGGATGTTACAATTTTGAAAGCAAAAATGTTTTTAGAATATTTTTTGAGGTTTTAGAGCTGCGTAATCCATTTATGTTGGCCTCCGATTGTTAAATTTCTAGTTATGAGTTTGGTATTTCCTAATTTAGCAAGGTGTAGTGCCCTTGCTTTCAGGAATTTCGGACAGGTGTCGCCTGAATAAACTTCGATGCTGAAAATCGTCGAACTCTAACTTGACTCGGTTCTGGCGGATTAATTGCACCTTATTCCAGGCTAATTTAATTTTAAACGATCGGATTTTATTGTGACTTGACCTTATTTTGACAAAATATAACCGGAGTAAAGTGACATCTATGTAGAAAAGTAGAAAACAAAATCGATCATCTGTTCTCTATGGTTTCTGGTGAACGCAGCTTTGCGGAAAGCTGGTTAGATTGTCGGGTCAAGTTCGGTGATTTTCTCAATAGTAGTAGGAAAAATGAAGTGTCTTTTCATGTGTCGATGAATCGTTCCGATCCTCATCAAAGAAAACTTTTTTTTGAAGACTTTTACATTTTTTTTTCAAGAGAGCTAAAAATTGAAATAAGTTGCAACATACATGAATTTATGATGATTTTCCGCAGGGCATCATTTTTCTGCTGGAAGGTTGCGTCATGGGGATCATCATCAGACCAGATTCTGGTTCGATGTCAGGTCAGCGCCTTGGGAACAAGATGATCTGATCGGAGCAGAGTTGAGAGTGTACAAGGAAGGGCTGAAACCGCCTCACGCGTTTGCCGGGTCGAAGACCCCGTTCAACGTTGAAGTGTATCAAGTTATCCCAAGTTTGACTTCAAGGTGAGACAAAAATGTACAGTGAACTTTTTGAATGATTTGATATACAAGCTTTATTTGCCACTCGTCAGCATTCACAAGGTTCAAAAAAAATGTTTCCCACCCTCCCCCCACCCAACACATGTTTTCAAGCACATTCCAGCATATCAGGGAAAATAGTTCACTGTATGGGCATCGAATGAAAACGCATCACAGTGCATACAGATGCATGAATCATACAAATTCAAGAGTTTCCATCTTTTTTTTTTGGATGACAAAAATTACAATACATGGCAGTTGGTGAGCATAATTTAAATCATGATGTAATCAGCCTGTGCCCAAATAAATTTTAATTTATGAAGCAGAATCCTTGAGAAGAAATCTTATGAAGCTAATAGTTTTTCCTGGTCCTGAAAGATTTGGGAAAGGACTTTTTTTTATCAAGCTGTGAGAATCCTAAGTCTTTTGAAATTTAATTCTGTTCTGTGGAACGGTGGGCATAAGAAAATAAGGTGTTCTGATGTTGCAGACTTGCAGTCACCAATACATTTATACTGCAGTATAATTATATCTCTTGGAAACTCCTGAGTATTCAATAAACTTTTTGGTGGAATGCCACAAGTTTTTTTAATAACGCTCTTATCAACAATCCGCCCTTTTTAATGATCTTAATTGGTTTGAGACAAAGGTTTGTCCACCAAAACGTTTTGTCAACCAAATTTGATTTTCCTGTAGACTTCAATGGGAAACTAATTCATCTGTTCCTATCACCCATAATTCAGTTGTAAATTTAATTTAAAAATATTTTAAGCACAATTGTCTAACCATAATGAGTTACTGTGGCATCCTGTGTGTGTTCACAATGTTTTGTAGGGTTTTATGGGTCTGACTAATTAAAGCAACACTCCAAAAGCTTCATACATCACATGACTATATATATTCACTTATATTCACATATGACTATGAGTAAGATAACTTTCAACCTGAAAATTTAATGTTAATTTTACAATGCTGTAACTAAAGACCAAATTCAGCAGTTGAACAGTGAAAACAACTAGAAAAATCTTTTGAAAGTGCCTTTGTCCACAGTGTTTCTTATAGCTTGATACGAATTTTTGATCAATTCTGCTCAAATCATGGAACCATTATGGCACAGCACACTCATTCACTCACTCAATATTGAACAAATTTCACAAATGTTGTGTAAGCCTTTGGTCTGCCTAATAATTTTTCTGCTTGATTTGTCCATTGGAATTCCAATTAGATTGTACTCCACAGTTCAGTGTCATAACTAAATTTGGAATTTTTGCCTGGGAACATATTTTTGTATGTTATCTTAGAGATTTTTCTTTGAGGACAAACGTTCTTTAAACCACTGTGAAAAAATGCATGTACATGGAATCAACGGGTCTCACTAAAAATATATATTTATCTGTGAGAATACTGAGAAATGAGAGTTGTTGAACTAATTTTCTTCTGACTGATGTATAATGAAGTCCTCAGCTTCCTCTTCGGAAATTTTGTTAAGCAAACTCGAGTGGGTGAACATTTAATTACCATTTGTGTCTTCAGGTATATTATCCTTTTTTCAATGTAATTTATTGATTCGTCTGAAATGTAGTGAAAAGCGGCTCGATTTGATCTCCAAGTTGAACACGACTCTGGATTACGACGGATGGTTGACATTCAATGTGACGAAGGCTTTCACCGATTGGATGGTGTTTCCGGATACGAATTTCGGATTGTACCTGGACGTGAATCTCGCGGATGGTGAGTTGATCATTTCGATTCCCGAATTTCGGAGCGCGAGAAAGGACTTGTGTCCCCCGAAAAATAGGCCACGTTGCGAAGCCGATTCAAGTGGGTCTCCATTCCCACCACCTGGTGAGAGCCGAGAAGGAGCCCTTTTTGGCTGGGTTTTTCAAATCTTCTGAATCGCCGGAAGGAAACGTTTTGCACGCTAGAAAAGCGAGGAGAGCTGTTTCCAACGGAGGATCCCAGGGAGGGAAGAAAAAGCGCAAGAACAATTCGAAAAGTCACGCCAAACGAAGTACGTGTTCGTCTCGATTCAAAAATGTTTATTTTATTTTATTTAAAGCATTTGTGAGAGGAGAGAAAAATACTTTTGACAACGGCTCAAGAGAAATAGCTGCTACTCCCTCATGAATAGGTACAAAAAAAAAACTCTTCTGTATTTTCCGGACCAGAAAGTGTTACCTGACGAGAAAGGATAACCAATTTTGAACTCGTTCATCGAAGATCAAAAATGTTGACAATATGACGAGAAAGGAATCTTTGTACGCAACGTTATCCTTAATTATCTGTGCAAGTTCAGCGTTTGCCTTCTGATGACGACACTCATAGAAGGTATTTACTGCAAAAAAATCTGAGTTCTTCTGTATATTTTGAAACTTATTAGTCAATAAGGGGTCAGCAAAAAAATAATGATTTGGGGAGTTTTCGGAAACAGCTTAAATACTATTAAACAGAAGTATAGTGTAGGAAACTAAAATTTGTGATCTTTTAGCAGTAAACTGCAATATAAATGAGTTGACAGGATGCTGAACTTCGAGGTACGGGTTAATTTGCCCGAATAGTCACTCATTTCTTTTTAATAACATCGAGTCGCATTTTTACTGTTTCGTTTTCCTTGTAGTAACCAGAATATTGCCCCACAGTTCTCTAGAATTTCGAGGTTTGACGGGGGAAAGTCTTCGATTTAGGAAGGTTTATTGTTCTTGAGTGAATACATAAAAAGTTCAAAAAATAAAATTAGAGAGGTTTTGGACAACCTTATTCTGCATTTCTGTTTTTTTTTATTTTGAAAAACTCCGAATCCCTCGTCACTCCGATTCCTGGAAAATACTTCTTTTCCTTTACGAAAATACAGAAAAAAGCGGATGAATTTTTCAGATGCGAAAATATTAAGTTAACACATTTTAAACCATTTTCAGTCTCTAAAGGAAAAGTAAAAAATGTCCGGAGTAATATTTTGAGGGATCTTTCAACCTCATGTTTCTCTTGACTCACTATTTCTATTCCGATTACGAATATCGGCGAGAATTCGGAGTTTTTCTGTATTTTTAAAACAACTTTATTGTACTTTTTATTTCTTTCTTTGATTGCAAAAAAACTGCGAATCCCTCGTAACTCCAATTGCTAGAAAATACTTCTTTTCCTTTACGAAAATACACAAAAAATCTTATGAATTTGTCGGATGCGAAAATATCATGTCATCATATTTTTAACTATTTTCAGTATTTAAAAGAAAAGGTCAACAATTTCCGGAGTGATATTTGATGGGATCTTTAAACCTCATGTTTCTCTTGACTCACTATTTCTATTCCGATTACGGATATCGGCGACAAGTCCGAGTTTTTCTGTATTTTTAAAACAACTTTATTCTACATTTCATGTATTTTTTCTTTGAATGCAAAAAAAAAAAACTTCGAATCCCTCGTCACTCCAATTGCTGGAAAATATTTCTTTTCCTTTACGAAAAAAAAATCCTATGAATTTTTCGGATGCGAAAATATTGAGTTGACATATTTATGACTAGTTTTTTTCCCAAAAGAAAAAGTACAAAATGTCCTGGGTAATAGTTGATGGGATCTTTCAACCTCACGTTTCTCTTGACTCACTACTTACGTACGTCAGAGTAGTTATGGTACTTACGTACCATTACGAATATCGGCGAGAAGTCAGAGTTTTTCTGTATTTTTCTAAACAACTTTATTGTACATTTCTTTTCTTATTTCTTTTTGAATGCAGAGAAACTGCGAATCCCTCGTCACTCGAATTGCGGGAGACGCAACCTGTACGTGAGCTTCAAGGACCTGAATTGGCAGGACTGGATCATCGCCCCGAACGGGTACCCGGCGTTCTATTGCGAAGGCGAGTGCACTTTTCCGCTGAATGCGCAAATGAATGCCACGAACCACGCCATTGTTCAAACGCTGGTCAACCTGATGAGCCAGCACACGGCGCCAAAGCCCTGCTGTGCTCCCACGAAACTGGGTGAAGTATCCGTCATATTCTATGACGACGACTCGAATGTCATTTTGAAGCGCTATCGCAATATGCAAGTGAAGGCTTGCGGTTGTCACTGAGGTGCTTCTATTTTTATTTTTAAATTTTTTTTTTTTGGCAGAGGGTGGAAATGGTCCTTTTTTTTTTTAATTACTGCTGGTCGTGCGAATCCCCCGCGAATTTATTTTGAAGCATCTCATTAGTTATTGATTCAGGCTTTTTGTGATTATTTCGTGGTAAAATGCGAGTAGTAATTTCATTTTCTGACATACGTACTGAACTGTACTGTTTTTCGCTCCGGAGTACGCGTGGCATTATTCGAGAATTGATCAAGTTTTGCTCTTTTGAATGAAAGCAGAAGACTTTGTCGCCTTAGGATTTGACGCATACGCCTTTGAACGCACATTTTTTTTATCTTAGTCCAGAAAAATGCCGAAATTTTAAGATCATAATACTGTATGTAAATTTTCGGATTTTGGAAACTGAGAAAGACCTTCATCTGCATTTGAACTTTTTTTTATCTTGGAAAACTTGGGAGGATTTAATGTAGTCTAAAATTTTCCAAAATAAGTATTTCACAGCACAGGTACTGTAATTAGCTTATAACAGTTTTGTTCGGAATATATATGTAATTATTAGAGCATTAATAAGCTTTGCTCTTTTGAATGGAAGCAGGATAATTTATTAGCGCAGGAACTCTCCGTTCTGTTCTGACGCGTACACCTTTGAACGCTAATTTATTGATTTCAGTTCAAGAAAATGGAAGAATTGTGAGATCATATAATAGACATTTTTGGAAAGATTGTTTTTTTGCCTTTGATTTTTTTTCGATCTTAAATAACGGGAGGATTCAAAATACCAACAATTTTTCTAGAATAATTTGAGCTTAATTGGAGAGCTGTCAATTTAATAAATATTGTTTGAACTCTTAACAATGTAAGAAACATATTTTTGAAGCCTTTCTAGGGTTGCAAACGTTATATTTTCGATTCAAAGAGCATGTGAAACAATTTACAGGACATTGAATGTGTTTTTTCTATGCAGTATTTCTATTCAAATTAATTTCAGCTTTCGTGTTGAATTTTATATCCGATTCGGAATTGTAAATTTCAAAAGAGTGTTTTCTGAATTAATCTGGATCGAGCTTGTTTGTTTGACCGAAGTTTTTTGTGGGCTCAAAAATCTTTTCTAGAATTTCTACGAGAGGATTTTTCGCTTTCGAACTATTGATCATCTGTGGAATGCTTGTTGCCACGGATATTTTTTTTTTTTGGGAGAAAAAAAGGAGGACCATTTCCACCTGAGCCAAAATGAGTTTGCGCGGGCATTTCGGTTCGCAGCTCGTGTCCGTGCTTGTTAACGTTGTGAGTGAAACGACTGATCAAAACGTGCGCGTGAGGAAACTCCAGAGCTTTACTTGGGGAGCACAAAAGAAGAGAAAAAAAACCTGGGGTCGCCTTGAAATTGTAACGAATCTTGCCATGCAGCCGAGTATTCTGAAAAAAAGCGCGGAATCTCGTGGATTGTTTTTTTTTTTTGTTCTCTTGCCATACGATGTGCCAAGATTATGACGACGACGACGGGCCTTGTGTCGCTTTCGCTGGGACGTGCTTTTGTGTGATTTTTGTAGGCAACTTCTGCTCCTCTGCTATCAAGAGAAATCGGCTCTTTCGTGGAGACGCGTTATTCCCTGCTTTCTTGTTCCCTATCTTCTCTGACTGTTCCCAATCGGCATTTTTAAATTTTATTTTCCGTGACCATTTTTGAATTTGAGGAAATCTTGCATGATCTGCGTACATAGGATTAAACGTGTCTCTAAATGTATTCGTTCGAGTGGGAAATGCGCCGAAACGTGAGAATGTTGTTGATCAACTTATTTTTTCAGTTGGTCATATGACGAATCGAATATCAGAATATTGATTTAATTTTTGAAGTGCAACTGCAGCAGAATTTTTGTCGTTGGTTACGAATTCCGATTGTTGAAAGCTTGAAACGGCTTCCTCTTACGAAAGCTTAAATGAACGAAAATTTAAAAGAGCTTGATACCTTCACCATCAGTCGGAGTTCTCAACTTGACCAAAATCGGTGCTATTCTAATCCGTTTGAGGTCATTGAAACCTAATCCTGTTCACAGAAAAGACGTCTTGCGTTAACAAATTTTTACGATTCATCAGAAGATAGCAGGTGAAGGCGTTTATCTAGGGAAGAGTCGCTTTTTCTTGAGCCGAGCAGCATTGTGGGATTTGTACGGTTTTTGTGTATAAGTAACATTCGTCCACGAGCTTGTGTAATAAAGCGAACAAATGTGGCATAATTTGCTGAAAGTTCGTTTCTTCGTGTCATTCGGAGCGCAGGAACAATTGAGCGCATCCCAAAACAGCGCCTATTCTCTAATTAATGCACAAACGACGCAAGTGATGGTGAATTGAAGTTCCAAGTGCAAAAAAGCACCGGATACATTCCTAATAATAACGTTCCTAGCGTAGTTTAATGCACATTTTCCATTATGTTCATTCCTAAATACATTCATGGAAGAGAGTGTGAATACGGTATTTTATTCTTCGATGCATTATTTTGGCGTTGGAAATGTGTCCGGAATTTAAGTTTGTGAATAACATCCCAGTTCTTTTGTTCATGAATTACGTAAAGCTTTCAGGGAGGCTCATCGTACCTCACCAAATTGCTCATTATCTGAATCAAAGAAACATGCAATGAGTTATGCTTACGCTGTTTTGGGACGCGCTGAGTTTTGCAATCATAATTTGAGCAAAGCTCAGAGGATTCGTCTCGTGTTATTCTTGCAGGGAGGCGAATGCTTGGTCCGGCCTTTTCAGCGCAGGAATTCGCCGTGAGCCTAGTGTTGTGGACCAGTGGGGTTGGCTACTCGTTGTGGAGCCTGTTTGACAAAACCTGGTCTCCTTCAAGACTCACAGACCACAGCGACGATGAGTGGAAAATATTCTCCAGGCTCATCTTTCGCGTCTTCCCGTTGCTTGTGTCTCACGCCGTGCTCTCGAAAGTCGCACAGAGGATCATTCCCAGGAGTGGTTTCCATTCTCTGTTCACCATAGCTGCTTTGGTGCATCTCTTCGGTCTTTCCTTTGCAATGCTTGTCTTGGCAACAGCCGTGGTATTGGTTGCGTCGTCGTATTTCCGTAGCGGGTTTGTGACGTGGATCTTGGCTGGCTCTGCGCTTTACTTGGTGCTTGGGAAGCTCGGCCGTTTAGTGGATGTTCTGAACGGTGACGAAGACGTGGAAGTTGCGCTAACAGTGTTGCTCTCTTGGATGGTGATGAAATTTGTGAGTGTTTCTCGTGATTCGAGTGCGAATGACGGCTGGCTCGTTCGCCTCGGGTACCTCATGTATCTCCCCACGCTACTTGTTGGACCAGTGTTCAACTATCCGGTGTATTTGAGTGCGAATGTGCGGAAGAGTGACATCCCCGGGGAATGTTTTCGGCTGACGAGATATGTTCTGTGGGGCATGGCGCTGGATTACGTGGTGTCTCACTGGGACTTTGATTTTTCCGGTGTGCCTGTGGATTTTTCGCTGTGGGCTGTGTGTGGGCTCGGTTTCTGGCTCGGACAAGCGTTCATGGTGAAGTATGCGGTTTTTTACGGTATACCGAGTGCCTTCGCGAGGTTAGAAGGAGTTGCCGCGCCGGATCCGCCATTTTGTGTAGCGAGGATTCATAGGTACTCGAAAATGTGGCGCAATTTTGACAGTGGGTTGTACAAGTTTTTAGTTCGATACGTTTACGTTCCGGTGGTGGAGAAAACTGGAGTGAAGGCTTTTGGGGTCCTGTCGTGTTTCTCGGTAGTTGCTGTTTGGCATTCTGCGACGAAGACCGTCATTATATGGATTTTTATGAACGTTTTCGCGATATTTGTGGAAAGATCTTTGGATAGCTTTATATTTTCGAGGAAACGAGATGGGAGGCTCGAGTGTTTCGTTTTGGCGTTTCTGTTGGTGATCTCGTCTGTTTCGAATTTTTTCTTTCTCGGTGAATTCGCTGTGGCTAGCGACATCGTTTCGAGGCTTGTTGAGAGTTCTTTGAAAGCAAAGATCTGCGTTTTTTTTTTCTTGTATCATTGCTGTGTTGTATCTGCGTACATTGAGAAAGTTGAGGATGATCCCTACTTTTGAACACGCATTTGGGATTTTAAAAGTTTGTAGATACTGTAGCAGTTATCCCTGACTGAGATGTAATTTTTAATTGTTCGAAGAATCGAGTTTCAAGAAACCTTTAAAAAAAATTTTTAGTCACCACATCTGATATAATTGTGCAAATGTTTGAGCGTGTTCCAAACGTAACGTTACTGAAGAATCTTAGGTTCCTGATGCGCAAGTGCAAATTGTCCATCTAGTGCGTGAATCGCCTGCAATTTACTACATGCTTTGGATAACATCTGCATGACTTACCTTCCTTTATATTTTCCAACAGTCTGTTCAGCTGTTATTATTCAACTGGGGAGTGGATTAGTCGTTGTGTAGCATTTCTCGGTAAATTTATAGAAGAGGTAAATGTGATTCTTTTCAACATCAGGATAACCATTGCCTTGAAATTGTTTTTGGAGGTTTTCTGTTTTATTTTCGAACGTACAGTACTGTGATTGGAGGACCGTAATTCGTCAAGTGTTTATTTTTTACATTTTTGAACAAAGGAAATTTTGAGAGGGGTTTTATTTGCCTTCTTCCTACTGGTAATGTTGCGTGGAATGCTGTATTCAGTATTGCCCAGGGGTGAGTCATTATTTCATTTGTTTCAGAAAAGAGGTGTGTTGAAAGCAAACGGTGCCTTTATGAGGGTTTTTAAGAGTGTGAAATTGCATTTCGTTCAAAATTTTTCACGATCGCCGCGATCTGTGACACACATTTTTTTTCCGAGATCGTTTCTTTGAACTGTTACATTTTAGCTTGGCTTAGTTCTGCGATGAAAGAGCAGCACCGAAAGGTTCCATTTAGTACAATTTTGGAATACTGTTTTCGCTTTACAAGGAATGTCGTCTTCCGAGATAATTTCGTGAATGGATGACGCAGTTCTCAGGCTCTCGCCCCCGATCACTTTCGAGGGGCTGAGTCCGGTCACCAGTGTATTCTACGACGATGTTTGCAGACAGGTATGTCGACTTACCGTAGTTTTCAATTCCGGTTTTAATTTTTACCAATACGACAATTGGAATTATTTGATAGCCATGTTGACGGCATTGTATATACTGTACTGTACTGAGTACTGTTTTTTCTTTGTCATCTTCCGTTTTATACCGAATTGTATCTTTCCGGAGTTCAGTTGCGTGTCCATGAACATTAACAGGCATTTAGGGTGTATCGGATTTTCAGATTTCCAACAAATGCTGGAGACGGATTATAATTTCTGTTGTGGACTCTCGGTTAACAACCCCTCAGTTAACAAAGTTTTTGGTAGACAAAGTTTTCTCCGTTAGGGAAAATCCCTTGGTTAACGAACCAAAGTTTGGATAACAAACCATTGTTCCCGAGCAAAAATTCTAAATTCAAGAATTCCAAAATTGGTTGTGACATTGTTGTGAAATCTTTGTGAAAATCGTTTGTATATGTTGAGATAATTGCCTTTTTTTTGCAGGTCTTCGCTGTTCGATCCGGGGGAGCGATGGGCATCGTAGTGAAAGGTCCGGAAGAGCACTTCAACCACACATTCCGGATGCCTGACCAAGGGCCGATTTTGGCAATCAAATTCTCCCTCGATCAAACCGTACTAGCTGTTCAGCACGTACCTGATACTGTTGTGAGTTGTGACATTTGTTCACCTGTTTTTTTTTTTATAAAAAAAGGTGAACGAAAAAAAAAGGAATTTCTTCTTGTTCGTATTTTGTGAATGAAACATTTTTTTTTGAGATCCCTCACGAGATTTCTTTGACGCATTAATGACTCACGAACATTAGAGCGAGTCTGTCCCATTCTCGAAATCATTTTTTAAAAAGAAGACTTTCGTGTTTTTGTAGGAATTTAGAAACTTCAGCAACGGAGAAGTTTCTTCTGGTACGTGTTACTCTCAGACCTGCAGAGGACGAAATACTCAAATACGGGGCGTGATTTGGACGAATGAATCGAAAGAAATCCTTTTCGTCACGAATAATGGAGTTGAATTTTATGCCGTGAGTGTCTCGTCTATTTTTATTTTTTTTTGACATCCGCCCATGTGGTTTTTGTGTGTGTGTGTATATTCGAGGGGTCTCTCTAACCAAGGTTGTGGGGGAATGAAAATTGAAGCGGCTGACGATTAAGCTCAAAAACAAATATTGTTCGGTAAAAAATCAGCCCTGCTTGACGCATTTTTCAGAAAATGTTTGCGAAATTCCTCCCGGCCGCTTTCTGTTCTTCACTCAATATATGAGGTTACCATCTTGCAGATTTTTTTGGTGTAGTCCAGCTTTTCCTTCAGAATTCTTGAAATTGACGTGGCATTTATTCCAAGGGTTGGCGCCATTAATTGATTAATATTTCCACCATTTTCATCAACAGCCGCCACTTATTGGGATGAGAATGTGGCGACTGTTGAAGGAAAATGGCGGAGTTACCTTGGAAGATGCGAGATGGGCGCCACTTCTTTAGAGTGAAGAGCCATGAAACCTGCCAGGGTGACTTTCGCAAAAAAATGATGTCCAACAGGGATGACATTTTTTTCTTTTGTCAGGAACGGTTTTTTCTGATCCATGATTATTTTCCAGCTCAATTTCTTTCCCGAGAACTTTTGTTGGACGTGTGATGTTAAAAAATGTCCTTTGAAAAAAAAAAAAAAGGTGAACAAGGAGCGAGGATCCGTGAAGCTCATGAAGTCGCATTCGTTTCCCGTCAACTGGTTTCTCTACAATGGAAAAACGACGACTTTGTTGACGTGCACGGGAGCCGGTGGTAACACTCTGCAGCCGTTTCTCATAAGAAGCGGTTCCCTTTTCAAATTGGCCAAATTCGAACTGGATTTCCCGCCTTCTGGAAAGCCCGGTGCTTTGAATGAACGGGATTTCATTCTGGCTGAAGTTTACAATCAGAACTACATATTGGTTGTCAAGCATCAACCTCGGGGCAACAGTTCGCTTGGCGGAGAGATCGTCGTTTTCAACGTGAACAAGTACGCTTCGCACCTGAGATGCTTTTTGAAAATAAAAAAAAATAACTTCTTTTCTCTGCACAAAAATCCACTCGTGCAATTTGACAAGTTGTAAGGACAACATAAAATCAGTCCGTAGCTACTCAGCAAGTCCGCACTTTTTGAGATTTCATCAAGAATAAAAAAATATTGTCAAAGATATAATATTTTTCTTTCCTCTCCCCATTGAAAATGTATTGTAATCATTTTTGTGTGTTATCTCCATTGAAATCTGATCATTTTCTAAAGTCTTGAAATGAACTGCTATGAAATCTTGAAATTTCGTAGCAGTTGTAGATTCATGCTCGTCATCAATTTAATGTTCTCTACTCCGTGATAAAATTACCTTGATTAATGGTGCTCATCGAAGTTTCCAGTGATGAATGAAATATTGGTGTCACGTATTCTGAAAGATGGATAAAAAAAAAATGAAAAAATTCAGGCTGGAAAATCCTGCTTGAAGTCGAACAAGTATTCACAGCGCAAACATGTTACATTTGAGAAGAAAAGAACTAAAGATTGTATGATTTACCCGAGTGTTGCCCCACGTGATTCTCGATAGTTTCTTGTTCATTCAAAATTTTGGCCATTCAATTGGTAATAGAAGACGTGTGAAATTCAAGATGAAATCAATATTCCTTGTCTTTACAGAGATAGTTCACCCACGAAATGCCACATACTGAAGGTAGAAAGAGGAGGAAAATTGGCTGTGAACATTGTTGACAATCTCGTCGTCGTCCATCATCAAACAACAAAGGTATTAATTGTGTTGTTGATAATTACGTTTGAATTTAGAAAGAAAACCCATGGCTTTTTATTTTATTATTATTATTTTTTTTAATGTGCAGAAATCGCAAGTCTTTGATGTTGGGCTTCCTGGTGAAACGGATGGATACGTGGTTTATCACGACGCTGTTCTATGGACTGATACGTGTCTGAAAGACGGGGAGCAAATGGAATCGGAAAGCAACGGAATCTGTATCCTTTTCATTTATTCACGGATGAAAAGACGCTTTCAAAGTTGAAAGCTAATCATGGGAAGAAATAATTTTCGAATATTTGAAAGGTCGAACTTGAAAATGTTTGCCTGTATAAAAATATTACAAAGATGAGGTGAGAACAAAAAGTGCGTTCTTCGCACTTAAAGACCCTGTGTCTTCCACAAGTCACCCCTTTTTTTGGTGAATGACGCCTAGATGTAATTAACTTTGACTTAATTAAGTGTCTAGCGACTGCCTGGAAATCCGGGTTCAGGAAGAATACATGGAGTGGGGCCCCGACATGCGGACAATCGACTTGGGGGCATTTTGAACGCAGAAAATCTGCCTCAAGATCCAGACAATGTATTGGGATATGAACACTTGACCAACATTTCTAGACTAATTGCAAATTTTATTTCTTCAAAGTTGAATACCGTATCTAAAAAAAATTGGGGTTTTTGTTTTTCATAAATATTAAAAGTGGAGTTTTTTTTTTTTTAATTCACTATAATTTATAATTCAAAACAGGCTAATTTTGTGCTTTTTCAGAGTTCTTTCCATCATCTGTGCACAGGATGGCAATCTTAAATAAATGTTACATTACTTGTGGGGAAAAAAAAATCCTTGACCGAGAAAAAAATGGTCACAGATGGGCAAAACGGATTGATTTTCCAGCCAGACGTGATCATTGATGCGAAGCTTGGGAAACTCTGGCTGCTCGAGTTTGACGTGGAACCCGTGTACGGACTCATCAAATCGCCGACGAACCTTGTCAATTTTCTATTATCCCGAAAAAATGCGAAGGGAGTCGTTCTTGATGCCGTTAGACGACTTCTCCAGGGGGATTGCTCACTCTTGGAGATCGGGAAAGTGTTTGATTTCGTCGTTGCTATTTATCAGGCTCACCATCACGCCGCAACGTTGCCTCAGGTGATGAAAGCAGAAAAAAAAACAAGAAATCCGTTTTCAAGTTCTGATTCTTACAAGAAAAGAGAGTCTCGATCATGTTGGTTGCTACTCGAACAGCAGTTGTGATTTGTTGCCTATAGGATGAAGACATTACCCGTGTTGAACTTAGTGAAAATTAAAATTTAGTCGGATTAATCTGTACTGTACTCGAAAATTGACTGGGCTTGATGCAAATTGAGGTACAGTAATTGTGGAACTCTGATAAAAGTGTAATGGGCGGAGAAGAAGTTGAAGTGGGCAAAGAATAGGGAAAATCTTCACTGGGTTTCTTTTTATATAGACTTTTATTCAACTTGACTTGGGGTATTTCTAAGGGGTATCCAGATTTAGCAAAGTTTGCAACTGAAATTTAAAGCACTTTCAAGTGTCCAATCTAGCTGCAATTTTCCACACTTGTCAAACATCAATTACGATGCAATTTTTCAAAATTTCAGAATTTTTGGATGACTGGAAAATTGTAAACGTCACAAAACACAAATTACCATGAAACTCACTTTCAACCCCTTTAAAACTATTTATTCAATTTGATTCTAATTTTGGGGTTGTATTTATTAAGCATTGCTTGAAGTATGTGAGAGTTTCAAAATTTTAGAATGAAAAATTAAGTTTCTATTGAAAAGAGATGAATTCTGAATTTTTGAAAATGAGAAAAAAAATTTATGGTGAGAATTTCTCATTCAATTGGTTTGAAACTTTTTCAACTTGTGGAACTAATGTATTTTTCCAAATTCTTTGATATTTGTGTTTTTTTTACTAGGAAACAAAGTTGAGTTTTACTTTAAAAAAAACCGCATTACCCTTGTTGATGTATCTGAAAAATGTCTTTCAAGTTTGTGAAAATTTTTCAGTATTTTGGGAAGTCATATTGAATAGCAGCCAATGTTGCTGCCAATGCAATTCAATGCACTTTTCAATGAATATTAGGAAGGAAAAACCTGAGTAAGATAATTGTGATACTGTACTCTGATCCAAGTGTAATGGGCTGAGGAGTAGTTGAAGTGAAGAGAAAAGAGAAAAAGCCATCATGGAATTTCTCTACATTCACCCTCCAAAACACCCTTGTGAATGTAGCTGCAAAATTTATTGAAAAAAACAATAATTTTCGAAAATTTTCCAGGTTTTCGGGAAGCCCCGGGAATTGGGACCCAGTGTCGCAGCCCCTTGGAGAGTCGTCATAATCCAGAAGGACATGTGTTTATCCGTATTCACGCCTCTGATCAGGACCCTGAGTGGCGTTCAAAGTGACAAATACCACCGTGGGCAGTCGAGATTGTCATCAATACTGGTTGAATACGCGAGATCACTTCATAATTACCACATGCCGGTGGATTTCTTTGTGTTGGAGCTGCTTGCCACGACGCTGATTCGAGATAAAGCCTTTCAACTGCTTCATCAACTGCTGCAGTATGGAACCATACGGGATTCGAAACAGATGGTTTGCCACTTTGTTGTTGTTGTGTATACTGTAGAGTTGGACCTTCTGAAGTCAGTGAGGGACGAGAGAAAGAAAACAACTTGGGGAATCTTTTGGTGTTGTTGAAAACCCCAGGAAAAATTTTCTCCTGGGCCTTGAACTGCTTCATGAATGAAGTGACAGAATGCTGAGCTTGGACAAGGCAAGAGATCATTTGCCCAATTAGCCGCTCATATTGCTTTGAAAAGCATCTTATTGCATTTTTTCCTTACTGATTCACCCAAGAAATAGTTCAAAAGGCATCCAGAAAATTTGAGATGAAGAGGTTTGAGGGGGGAAAGCCTTTGAGTTACTGAGGTCTACAGGGTGGGCCGAAAAGAAAATAATCAATTTTTTAATTACAATAGCTTGGTAGATTATTGAGCTACAGCAGCAAGTAGAAAACCAAATCAAAGCTTGTTCAATTTCCTTTCAAATGATATGTGGTTTTATGGCCCCAAGGACCACAGCTTGGTCACAAAAGACAATTGAGTGAAAACTTTCCAAGAACAGAAAGAAAGATTTCAGGCAACTCCTTTCCATAAGCTGATGTTATGCAGAGTTGTTTTTTTTTATAATGAAATGGGGTGCTGGAACAGTAATTTAACTGAAAAATGTCATGCTGCCTTCAAGAGGTTATTTCCGACATTCAAGAAGAGGGGGTTAAGAAGTAAGAAAACAGATGCAGCAGTGGGATGATTACCCTGCTCCCAAAGCAATGTGCCAGCCTTGTGGCTCCTGCAACACCTTGCATGCAAATTTGTTCTGGATGACTGGATTGCTCCAAATTGGTTTCACTCATGGTGGGCATGTGCTTGAAATGATGTCTTCATCTGTAGCAGTGACTTTTTGACGGCTTATGTTTGTGATGATCAGGGAATCAGAACTTTGTGAAAATTGACTGATGAAAAAATTTACAGAAGTTTGCTGGTTAAATTACTAGTCTTGCACCCCATCTATCTCTAGAAACAGCTTCAGAGAACAGCTGCTTAGTGGTATTGTGGGAAGTTTTCATCCAATTGACATGTGTGACCAAGCATGGCACTTGAGACCATAAAACCACGTATAATTTGAAAATAGAAATTGAACAAGCTTTCTTTTGGTGATTTATTTTTTTGCTGTTGCAAAATTTGACACCAAGGTATTTCATCAAAAAAATGGGCCCATCCTGTATGAGCAATAGTTCTGAAGGGAATTCAGACAGAGAGTAAACAACAATTTGACATGGGAAGGTTTGATTTATTGAGGTCCAACTGCATATTCTCTGATGAATAGAAGCTGGTCTCCATTAAATGCTGGGTATCCAAAAGGGGCTGGCTCCACAAAAAGTGGAAATGAAGAATTGCAAACTTGTTTTATTTCCTTTAAACTTTAATCTCTAAATTATGTACAGTACTTTCAGGAACCAGAGTATCCCATGTTTGCACTTACTTCAATTCAAGCTCCATTTTTATGGAGAACAGATATCCAACCTCTTCTTTTTCCATGTTGGCTGAAGTGAGAATTGGCATTATAAATCCCAGTTTTTATTTTTTTATGAATTTTCCATAATTTGTAGAATATTCTTCTTGGCAGGCGTGTCTGTTGTTGTCGCTGTCAAACGATTATCCACCTGCGGAGCAAATTGCGTTGGATATGCTCAAGCGCTTGAACACGGCCAATGAGCAGATCCTGGAGATCCTGCTCAACAAAGGACAAATTTTCACTGCCTTGAGGTGATCTCTCATCCATTGACGAGTTTCAATTTTTTGTACTGTACGTAAATGTTGATTGAGAGCAAGCATTTTATTTCGAACGACTATAAACATTGTACCAACAACGATGCTTTAGTGATTTGATGAATTATTTCGCTCATCTGTTGCAGATTCCTGAGAAAACTCGGCCTGCTGCAGCCGTCGAATGCCGCTTTAGACATTCGGAAGTATTTGGATGCAGCTCTGGCTTCCAACAACAAAATGGTCTTTTTCCCGGTATTCAAATTCTTTGAACAACGCAACTTGAAGATGTACGGATCTCCTCAGTTTAAGCCTCGTGAGTTTGATTTAGAGAGATTCAGTGAAATTAACTCTTAGTTTCGCAAGAATATTTTTGTTCAATGTCCTGGATTTTTTTCAGCTGAGCAGTATGAAGTCTATGTGAAAAAGTACAAGGAAATGTTCTTGGAAGCGCAGGATTCCGAGGTGGTCGTCATAAATTCGTGATATTGCAAGACAGGAGAAATTGGTTCATGATATTCCTCATTGAGTGTATGAGAGGTAATTTTTTTTTGTAGATGAATTGCATACTTTTTTGGTGAGAAGAGGATTAATGGAGGCAGCCATGTTTTTTTTTGGTTGATCCAGTGACATATTTTCCCATTTAATGAATTTCTTGGATCAATAAATGTGTTGAGTTGCTGCAATCTTGTTATACAGTGAATGAATGTATACAGTGAAAGAATGTAGAACACTGTATTTGCCGCTTTTTAGCATTCACAAGGTTCAGTCAATATTTCCACTTCCAAACCCCCTCCCTACCCAACCCAAATCCACTCGAAGACATGTGATCACTACAGAGCAGGAAACAGAGCACAAATGGATATCAAAAATAAAAGAAAATACAATACAACTGGACATTTGACATGTATGCATACCCCCATTCATTCCCTGACATTGGTAACAAAATATATGCAAAAATTAATTTAAAGCACAAGGTCTTCAGCTTGTTTCTGTATGATGTTTAGTTGAATGAACAAATTAGAGAGAATCTTTGATGAGAAATCAAATAAAGCCAACAGTTTATCTTGATTACCTTTAAAATTTCAGAAAGGGTCTCTTCATTCAATTCCAGTACTTGTAAATCTTTCTTAAGCTCATTTCTATCAGTATGAAATGCTGGACATAAGAAGAGAAGGTGCTCTGGTGATGCACAAATAGTTGAATCTCGCTTGAGTTGAATTTCTAGGGACCAGGAAAAAAATTTGAAAAGTTTTGACTTGGGGAGGTTTTGAGTTACAGAAACAAACATTCTTGCTATGAGGAAAAGTAAAAATTGTGGGAAATTGTAAATGGGGATATTCTGGACCTATTGTCATGATTTTACAGCTTGCTGAACTTGGAGGCAGGGGTTAATTTGTTCCATTAGTCATTCACTTCATTTCAAGATGCATAGAATCATTTGTTTCATTGATTTTCTTGTTGATATTTCAAGAAAATACTAACCAAAAGACTTCCCACAAATTTGACATGCAAATGTTTGAGAGAAAAAGACTCAAGATTGGGGAGGGTTTTAATGCATTGATTTTAAGGGAATCCAGACAGGGACTTGATAAAAATTTGAGTTACCAAGGTATTTGACTTAGGGAGGTTTGACTGTATTTCCAGTGATATGAAAGTATTCTGCTGTACTATGGGAATGAAAAACACAGAAAAATCACATCACCTGAGACACCATGTACATTTTTCAAAACTACCAGAAACTGCTGACCTATTGCGCTTGAACCTTCTGAAGTAGCTGAGACATAATTTTTTGTTGTTTCATTTATGCTAATTCAAAATTTTGTGCTTAAATGGTGCCTTGTCAATGCAGTTCTGGTTTCTTTGCTGGAAAATTTGCATGGGTGCTCAATAAGTGAGTAGATTTAATCTGGCCATTTTGGATTTAAACAAAGGGACTCACTCAAGGTATCAGCTTTGTGAAGTGTCCATTGCATTATCACAGTGTTCTCCACCCAATGGTCCTTGGACTGGCACTGGTCTGCACATGTCTTTTTTTTTTTGCTGGTCCGCAAAAAATTTGCTCCAGCATGATACAATTTTAAAAGGTAGCATTGAAGTTAATTATTTTTATTACATTTTTTTATTTTTATGGCAGTTGAAATTATATGCAGAAAATAAGTTGGCTTTTCCCCCTAATAACACTTCAAAAAATTTTTCAAATGCTGAAATAATTTGTTTGAATTACAGTGAGACCCCAGAATGCCAACACTCCAATATACAATTTGACTTAGAGACACTTAACATTGAAAAAATCAACCCCAGACAGCAATGCAACGTAGTGACACTTTTCCAAAATTTCTTGCAAAATTTAAAAATTTCGATTTCCTACATTAAAAAAGAAAGAAATCAAGCTATTTACAGTGAAGATTGCATTTACAAATGTTTTTGATTATGCTGATGCATAGCATAATCAAAAACAGGCTAAGTTGTGCTTATTTTTTAATTTTTCCATCATGTGTTTGCTGTGTAATGGGCTTGTTCTTGTTCATTGCTTTTTGAGTTTCTTCTGGTGTAAAAAGATTCTTCTGTGTGGTTTTTTCTGTATACCTATTTTCTGAATTTTAAAGTGTAAAAAATTATTTTATTTCCTTTTTTGAATAACTTTTGTCAACTATTCCTCTAATGGAAAACCAATTTAATGTATTTACATTGAAGTATGGGAAAACAAGTTCCAACATGTGGATGCTCCGACTTTACAGACAAGGCCCATGCACAAGTTATGTCTCTTGGAGTCCACCTGTGAATTCACTTTGAGAAACATTTCTTTAGGCCCAGTGTTTTAATTTTTTGAATCACATTCCACTTCAACTGCTTCATTTATGTGGTTCCTAATGTTTAAAAAACGCAGAAACTTCTCACAGTTGAACCTTTGTAAGTTGGACCTTCCTAAGTCAAATACCTCCTCAAGTCAAATTTTTTCTTGTCCTCATTAAAAACCTCTGTAACTCAAAGTCTTTTTTCTCTCAAACCTCTGTAAGTCAAAGTTTCTGACGCCTTTAGGTTACTATCTCCTTGAAGCATGAAAGAAAAAAATCAATGACACAAAGTATTTTGAGCATCTTTGAAAGGAAGTAAAAGACTAATTAATCAAAATAACCCCTGCATCCAAGTTCAGCAAGATTTAAAATCATTAAGAAGCAAGTTTACACCAAGAATATCCTCCTTTACAATTTTCTGATTTTTTTTTACTTATCTGTGCAGCAAAAATTTTTGTTTCCCTAACTCAAAACCTCCAAATATCAAAACCTATTCAAGTCAAAACCTCTCAAAGTCAACTTTTTTTTTCTTGGTACGTAAAATTTTGACTTATAGAGAGGTCATTCAACTGTAAATACATGGCAGAAAGTCTTCTAAGCACAACTTTTTGAAGTCTGTAAAAATTGTATGAAGCTTTGCTGGTCTGTAGAAGTTTTATTTCAAACTTGCAAATCCACAAAAAATATTTATGGAAATTTGCTGATCTGCTGGCCAATACAGCCTAAAAATCAATTTGTTTCATTGTAAAATGGCGTCTGTGGGAAAACTGCCAGGATCCAATTGAAGAAAAAATTTGGTGTAATGAAAATAGTTCGTTGTAACGAGATTCGTTATTGTAACGGAACTTATTTGCTGTATATAAACTTGCGTTCCAACAATAAATTCATCTCCGCTATGAAAGCCGAATCGTCGTGTCACACACTGCAGTCGTCGTCGTCGAACAGCATTAATCGAACGTCGCGACGACGACGACGAGATAATGGGTTCGACATCAAAAATGCAAGGACCCGACACGACGACGACGACGACGATCGACACACGTGCCGCGACGATGTACTCTCGTCATCCGAAACCGTTGCTGTCGCATTCGCACTTACTCCTGCTGAGCTGGGGTCGTGACGTGACGTGACGACGACGACGATGACGATTGCTGCTGTGCTGGACGCCCCTTTTTCGTTGGGTCAGGTACGTAGTGTACGACGATCACCGGAAGGAGTGCTGGGTTCTTCCGGCATTCAATTCGACGTCTTCCTTATTTCGTCCCGAGTGCATATATTTGGGTGCTGGTGCAGAACCCCTGACGACGCACGCCGAATAAAAAAAAAGGTTGCTGGTATCTTTTTTTTTAAAGGGTAAATAAGACACCTGCCTACTGGTGAACCCATTGTGAGCTGCGCCTGAGGGAGTGATACAAGGGGTCTAATGAAAGTTCTTGGAGCATACATTGAAATGGGAATGTGATCAAGCTGATAAACAATTGATTCTGTAGGACACATTGAAGAACCTTTTCTGAAGCTTCAAAAGAAAAAGATAATATAGAATAATAAATAATATAATGTATAATAATTAATATATGGCGGATTTTGAGCTAAAATAAGCACAAAATTAGGTTTTTTATGATTATGATTGAGTGTAAATTCATTCAAAAAATTTCAATTTGTGAATGTAATATGCTCAATTTGATTGAAACTCATCAAAATTAAAAAAAAACAGAAATTTTTATATCTATATAAAATGTTTAAAAAGTGTCCATATCTTGAGAAATTTTCAACATATTTTGTTTTATGTTTATGAAACAAGTGAAGGTGATTTCAATGGGAATTGGTCCTCTTGTAAATGAAAACTATGGAGTCACCCCAAAAACTTGGATAAAATGAATTTTTTCGACTTGAAAATATTTTGCAATGTTTTTGCAAATTTTGCAAAAGTCGCCCCACTGGCAACTCTATAGGCATGTGATTGAGCTGATGAACAATTTTTGTTCAGCAAATATATGATTCAAGTGTAAATCTGAAGGAAACTCATCTGGTCAGCTGAAAGCTTTTTTAATTTGACTTGATTGGCATCTCATATAATGCTGATTTTGAGTATTTTTTTTATTAAAAAAAAGTAAACTTGGCTTCATTTGCAATTTTTTTAAATGGTAAGTCTATACTTCATGAAACAAGTGAAGGTGACTTTCATGGGAATACAGTAATTGGTCCTCCTGTCAATGAAAAATGTTGAATTACCCCAATAAATTTTCTCAACTTCAAAATATTTTGCAATTTTTTGCAAATTTTTGCAAAAGTCTCACTGGCAACTTTCTGGTCTTCACTCGAAAAATGTGTACTCACATAATGTGTGTGTATGTGTATATGTGCATTTATGTACTCCAAAAAGTTGGCAAAATGGGCAAAAAAATCTTTTGAAGGGAGAGCAAAAAGTTGCTGTCATACATTTTTAAAAAAAAATTTCTAAAAAAATGCTTTTAAAATGGCTGAATTTTTTTCTCATGTGCCAAAAAAAATTTTCCCCTGAACAATATAATGTTCTTTTTTTTGTGTGTGTTTGGCTGAATCGTATATAAGCCAAGCCATTTAATTATTCAATATTCCCGAGAACTTTCGTTAGACCCCTCGCGTGATTACAGGCTTTCCGGCGCCGGATGCCAAACAGCACTTTACCTGCTCCTGCTGCAATCGTCATCGAATTTCAGCGATGGAAAAGCAGAGCAAATCGTCGGGTTTCTGCACATTCATTCGCAACCTCTGGGGTCGCCCTTTATTTATAAAAGCCCATCGTCGACGAACGATGCTTTGGCACACGAAGATCCTGAGTAGAACCATTC